ATTTGGCCAACTTTTCTATTAGTATATAGACAAGTGAGGATGCGCGATACTCGTGGGGGGATCTTCCACATCTTACCTTTCTGCCCCTCACCAACAGCAATGTTGCTGGGACTGCTGCAGCTCCTGCCCCTCCCTACAGTGTCACTGGCAAAAGCTCACTGTGGCCTCCCAGTCTTGCCACCAGATCTGCAGCAGCTTCTTCCTCCATCTCCGCTACTGCCGCCGGGACTGCTGCGGCTCCTGGCTATTCCCCCCATTGCTGCCAATGCAGCCAGGTCAGGTGCACCTCCTGGCCTTGCCAGCGGGATGGCTGCAGCTTCTTCTTCTCCCCCACCTCACCAGGGCTGCCATGGCTCCCGGTCACCACCAATGGAGCTGGGTCAGGTGCGCCTCCCAGCCTTGCCACCAGGCCTGCTACGTCTCCACAGATCATCTCCACTACTTTTACCAGGGCCACTGTGGCTCCCAGCCCCCCTCCCCCCACCGATGCCAATGCAGCTGAGTCAGGTGCACCTCCTAACCTTGCCATCTTCTCACTGCTTCTTCTCTTTCACCGTTGTTGCTGCCTGGCTGCCATGGTTCCTTGCCACCCCCCATCACTGGCAACATATAGAGGAAGTGGTATGTGCATTGTCTGCACATGCACAGACAATTATTATTTTTTGTTTGGGGGGGGGGTCCCCCAAGTTTGCAGGAAAATCTCTAGCTTTTTTGTGATCCCAGTCCAAAGATTTATGTATCTGCAGATGGGAGCCACACATCACTATTAGATGTATAGACAATGTGTCTGTCAGATGAATTCTCAGCGTTCTTTTTTTTTAAAAGTCTATAGGACCCTTTGCTGCAGGAGATATGTCTTATCTCCGCAACAAAAGGCAATATAAATTTTTTTTAATGAAACCTGGGCATTCAGAGAATCAGACCATGTTATAGCACTATGTCAGCTGCCAATTTAAAAGAGAACCCGAAAGCCTCCAGTGCACAGGGAGGGGAAAATGGTTGCTGCCAGGGGATTGGGGCAGGGAAAATGAGGAAACACCTGCCTTGTGGAAGCCCTGTTGTTGCTATGCTGTATCATTAGTCGCAAATGGAAAAAACACAAACTGTGTTCTCAGAATTGTACTTATTTTTACAACAAATGACCCTTTAACTTAAAATACCTTTCACCCTTCCCCTCAATCTTGCCTGTTTCAGGAAGGGCACCCTAGTCATCTAGATAAGGGGTCCCTAGACCTTTTGAGCCTGTAGGCATGTTTGACATTCTGACGTGGCACAGTGGGTGCAGCAACAAAAATGGCTGCTGCAGGAGGCGGAGCCCGCCACAAAAAGATTGCCACAGCTTAACTTCAGTAACAGGGAGCAGATCCTTGTGTTGTGGTGGCAGCTGCTGACAAAGCAAAAGAACCCATACAGCCAATCAAGTCTCCAATAGTCCACCAGAAGCCTTGCTAGGCAAGAGGCCTCTCTGGCCCCTCCCTCTTCCTAAAAATACTTGGCAAGCACCAGAAAAGGTGCTGGTGGGTGCCATGGGCACCATGTTGGAGACCCTGGATCTAGAGGAATTTAATCTTCTTCACTACTATTTGGGATGTCAGAAGGAAAAGGGGACAAAACTAAAAAGTCAGGAAAAGTCAGTAATTTTTGAGAATGGATCTTCTCAGTCTTTCTCCTCTGTGACAGTACATACAGTCTGCAGGCTGTCTTCCACATCTCTGGTTCTTAATTGTTACACACTTTCTCTTTAGTTGCTGACAGATTGTAGGTGCCTAATCAGTTTGTGATTCCTCAGCCTTTAGAGATTAAAAAAAACCGTAGGTGCCTAATCAGTTTGTGATTCCTCGGCCTTTAGAGATTAAAAAAACAAAACCGCTTCCCATTCTTTCAAACCATAAGGACTAGAAACAGAGTTTATTTTTACGAGAGGGGAACGATTCTCGGAATACTGAGTTCAAGGCCAAATACCCAACTATATAAACACAACCCCAGTTATTAGGGTGGTTACTATGTATGTTGGTATAATGTTCAAAGTGCTCCTAAACATCTCCCAGTTTTCAGGCTGTCTCAGAACATGTTGATATCATCCAAGGTGCTCTACAATCCATGTAAAACAAAAATTGACCTTGGGTTGTGTTTTTTTTAGTGATCCAGTCTTCCAACGGTCTCTTATATATTCCCACCTGTGCCATAACAATGGTTCTAAATGGCATTTAGTAGTCAGGTCGGTGCTGAGAGATTCTGCCTTTAGAATGCCTTCCTTGGGTTAGCAGGGCCAGTTCCATGCTTTTGTGACCAAGGGATCTGCAGTATCCCCTGTTTCCCTGGCAAGAGGCCTGCAGTGGAGCGATGGAATCCCTTCCAAGACAAGAGACCTGCCTCTCTTCCTGTGTGTGCCTGTGTGTGCATGTGTGTGTGTATACGCACACATTTGCCACTAACTTACCTCTACAACATGTAATCCACATTCTTTAAGGGTCTTCCAAGTATGAGGAAGGCAGAGGAGAGGTTGGACTGGGTTCATGACTCAGCTCAGTGGGCCTTTTGGTAAGGAGGAATTCCTGCAGCTTGAAACAAATGCTCATCCCCTCTAGCACCAGGAGAATGATGGGGCCGGCATAGTCTGAGAACTGGGCAACTGCTGCTGCTAGTATTTCAGTTTATAAAATATGATCCTCACCTTGTTGGTGACCATGCACTGATGTGTTACTTAGTAATGGAAAGTATATACATCTCTCAGAAAGGCCAGGTCATGGGGGTAATGTGTCTGCCTTGGAAGAATGGAAAAATTAGTTCATGTGCTGTGGAATAAGTTTGAAAGCTGCAACACTGGTTTCCTGTTGATGGTGCATTAGTTACATTTTGCTCAAATATGTATCTGCAGGGGTTAATTTCTGGTACAGACCTTAATAGCTGGGGGACCTGTAGGTCAGTGAGAGCACAGGCCATGCATACATAAACTTCCAGATCCACTTGATTGCCTGGGCAAGCTGGGGGAGAGACACTCAAAAAGTAAAAACCACGGGGCCAAAAAACCCACTGTGCTAATTCAGTATAATGTAGCTTTATATCTATGTAAGGCTACCTACATGTCTCCTCCCACTTTCAGATGCGTCGGGACTAACTGTGGTAATGGAAAATAGCTTCTGTCAGCCCTTAAGGAAAGCTCAGATCAGGCATCAAGATCGTGTGAATTTAATTTGGTTTATTTGTTGGCAATGTTCCTTTGGACCCTTGTTGATTTAAAGCAGAATCTCAGAGTGGGCCTCCTGTAGCAAAATAACTTACGAAAGGTGGTGTATTACAAAACCAAGAATAACACAAGTGCTGAAAGAGCTACAGATACGCTATCATCTCGGCACCCTTTCCCCAGCCTGCTAAGTTGAGGCCGTACGACCACCTCCATGTTTCTACAGAAGATCTGCGATAGAACAAGCTTGTCTAAGGCCATCCTTGGAGGTTATTAACTGAACTGCTATTTGAACAATAAACATCCATACTTATTTAATTTAATTATATAATTTAAACTAAATTATGCCAAACAAAACTCTTTTTTTCCCATGTTGTCAGTTTTATTTTTTAGATCGGAGATCATAATAAAGTAAACATCGAACAAAGGGGATAGTTCATTGTCGTAAATTAGTGATGTAAAAATGTGTGTCTTGGGTGCGTGTTCTCCTGGCCACAGAAGCCATGAAAGCAGTTTTTTTCAATTATGTCCTTATCGCTGTTTGCTAATAAGAATTACACCCTTTTGCTAGTAAGACCAACATCCCTATCCAAATAACAAATGTTCCCAATATTTGAATTTAAAATGTTTAGAATCATAATGAGTAATGAGGTTTGTGTGTATGTGAACACATGAAGCTGCCTTATACTGAGTAAGGACCCCGGTGCATCAAGGCCAGTGTTGTCAGACTGACAGTGGCTGTCTGGGGTCTCAGGCAGAGATCTTTCACGTCACATCATGGAGGGCATAATCCATGTCCTGTTACCACACATACATCAGTCCTCATGAAGAGTTCTGGAGAACGCTGTTTTGTAACAGGGTGAAACCTCAGTAGACTATAATATACCATACAGCCCACATTCCAGAACGGCCATTTCTACTGGGGGAACTGATCTCTGTATTCTGGAGATCAGTTGTAATTACATGGCTTTTGTTTCTGTTTGTGTTTTTTTTTTAAACCAAGATGTCTGCCTAGAAGTATTGTTCCTAAGGAATTGGGAGTTTCCCAGTTTCTGAGTGGATCATACAGCACATTGGTGAGTATTAACTGAAAACGAAGTCATGTAATACTCTCTAATAAGGTATTAGAGAGGACTGATAGATTAAAATTCATGCACACATTGAGGAAGTTAACAGTGTCTGGGGGCTATTTTAACCTCCCTTACCCTTGCGTAAATCCACTTGCATGAAAACATCATGCAGCCTATTTTTAAACTGAGCTTGAGCAGTAGCCAGCTTTGCACCACAAAGCTGTTCTTTAGAAGAAAAAAGGCATAGGACTGGATTAAACATACTGTGTAGACACACTGTTCTATTTTTGAGAAACCTGCTTTTGGAGACAGAGCTTGGGCAACGGCTTGCAATTTAATCCAGCAATTAAAAATATGCAGCTGAATTATTCATCACAATTAGCAGTCTCTCCCTTTGAGCTCTGTGGAATACAGAGGGACTCTTCTTAGGAGTGTGCAACCATGTTTGTCCAACCTCTGTATTTGAGTACTAGTTCGACTAAGCTGTGATGTCCCCCTGTTTTTGATTTGGAAAGGTTCTGGGGGAGTACTTTGGCCATCCATATTCAGGCCTTCCTCAAGGTCCTTTTGCTGTCCTTGCTGTGAAGGAGTGGATTGTGCCGTAGGGTCTTGGGCCCAAGCAAGCAAATACTGTGTGGAAACTCAGGCCTGTGAAACCCTGCTGTGTTTCCCCTCCCCCTTAAGGTAATGACTCTTTGGTAGCAAAGTGTATTTGACTTCCTTCCCTTGCCTCTCCCCCACTGCAGTCCAAACAAGTCAGAATTTATGAAGAGGTGTGAAAGCTCCTACTCCAGCTGGAAATTCTCTGGTGGCTTTCGAACCTGGGTCAAAATGTCTTTGGTGGAAACGAAAGAAAAAGACGGCAGGGAGACGGTTGAATTCAGACAGGAGGTAAAAAGGCCTAATGCAGCTTCTTGGCTGTATCAGGCAACAAGGACATCTAATTGCTGTTCATCCAGGGGCTGCCCCTCCTGCAACCATGCTTTGCTAAGGGAACAGTTCTGAAGGCTTATCAGGTTGGACAAAGGGTATAGCACAACTTGGGGTGCCAACTCCGAAATAGGAAATCCCTAGAGATTTGGGGGTGGAGCCTGGGGAGAGCAGGGTGAAGGGGGGGCCTTCAGTGGAATATAATGCCATAGAACCCACCCTTCAAAGCAGCTGTTTCCTCCAGGGGAACTTATCTGTGAAGTCTGAAGGAGCCGTGGCGTGGCTCAGTGGTAGAGCATCTGCTTGGCATGCAGAGGGTCGCAGGTTCAATCCCTGGTATCTCCAGTGAAAAGGATCAGGCAGTAGGTGATGTGAAAGGCCTCTGCCTGAGACCTTGGAGAGCCGCTGCCAGTCTGAGTAGACAGTACTGATCTGGATGGCCCAAGGAACTGATTCAGTATTAGGTAGCTTCAGGTGTTCATGTGAAGATCATCTGTAGTTCTGGAAGATCTCCAGGCCCCACCTGGCAATTGGAAACCCCTAAGCATAACTTTAGTGGTTTCATGATTCTGCAGGACTCCCCCCTTCCATGAAGATTTCACTTCTCTGAGCAGCAAGAAGCCCGTTGCCAGTGTCACAGAGTTTAGTTGCCCTTGAATGAGAGAGAACAGGAGATTAATGTCTTTGCCATTTGCTTATATATAAAATGCATATAAAAGGACATTCCTTTAAAAGTCCCGTACAGCTTATTCTGTATCAGATTCCCATAACAAGCAGCTCTACTTGCTTTAGCCAACTGCAGGGAAAACCCAGAACTGTAACATGAAATTGTGGCTGATGTCTCTCTGCCTTTCTTGTTAAGGCTGTCTCCAAAACCTGGAAAGAGATTTTCAGCCATCAAGAAGTGTTCAACCCTTTCATCCCTGACCATCCTGCCAGTTACACAGAACCATAGTAATAGACCTGTTTAAACCGGGATGCCAGACTTCTCCCACAGACACAGATATTTGTGCTTAGTTATTGGCTTAGTGAATTCTGCCAGTGTCCTGCTATTAAATATCATGTGTGAGGTAGAGCAAGTACCTGAGGCTTAGTCTCAAAACCCAAGTAAACCTATAATTTTTTGGGGGGTGGGACTGCAGAGTAGAAGGGCATATTGCATAGAAAAGTATCTCAGGGACATTGGGGGATGGTGGTATGATGTGTTTCTTGGGAGCTGTGTGTAAGATGCCCCGAGCCCGCCTTGGCGGCGGGGGGGATATGAATAAACAAAATAAATAAATAAGTGCACAGCTTCTGAACAGGAGGCATAGGGCCACCTCTGACGCAGAGTTGGGGACTCCTAGGTGCCAGAGCCTCCTACCGCCACTTGGAAGTCCCATGGCACATCGTCATCATGTCTGATAGCCTAAATGTTTTGTAGGCTTGGGTCCTTTCATGCTGGAGGTGAAAGCCTGTAGGTCATAGCAGTGTTAACAGTGACAGAGCCAAGAAGTAAAGCTAATTGTTACTCAGCTTGAGATTTTGAAATTAGGCTTCTGCCAAATTAGTGGCATTAGGCAGCTGTGAGCAGCAGGAAACCATTCATTTTGTGTGCATGAGTGCACATTGCCTGCTTTAGAAGCCACATGTGCTTCAGTGTACAGCTGTAGCTTACTTGGAAGGAACAATTGGTCTTTTGGAAGGACCGACCTCCACCTGCATCCTTCTTTCCAGAAGTAGCTACTATGTACAGAATGTCAGAGGCCAAGAATGCCTGAGATGATAATGTCATCCTGAAATACGAGTCCAGAAAATAATACAGAAGGATCCACTGTTTTTTCACAGCCAATTCAGGTATTGAATTATGGGTGTAAACATGCCATTCTTTGTGGTGGCAGGATCAATTAAGATTGGTGATGAGCCTTGTTATTGAAAAAGTAATCTAGTACCAGGAGAAAAGCAATAAAGATGTGACATGTGGAGGATGAGAGGAGGAGGAGATTGGATTTATACCCCGCCCTTCACTACCCAAAGGAGTCTCAGAGTGGCTTACAAACTCCTTTCCCTTCCCCTCCCCACAACAGACACCCTGTGAGGTAGGTGGGGCTGAGAGAGCTCTGACAGAGACTGCTCTTTTTCAAGAACAGCTGTGCCAGAACAATGGCTTGCCCAAGGTCATCCAGCAGGTGCAAGTGGAGGAGTGGGGAATCAAACCTGGTTTTCCCAGATTAGTCCACATACTTAACCAGTTGGTCAGTATGATCAAGTGAACCAATTTTGTCCAAGAGCAAGAGTTAAAGATAGAACATTCCTTTTCTTAAGTGTGAAATATTTACCTCAGCTAAAATATTTGTCCCTGGATGAGGCAGGTTTACCAGATGACAACCTGGAACGATGTTCTGTATCTTTAGCAGCATCCTTCAGCCATCGTTTCCCTTGTCCCTTTGCCTGCCCATGCTTCCAGCCTAGGGTATAGCACATCTAGAGCTCTCTCCACAGCTGCCAGTACACACAAGGGGGCAGGGGAAGAAGGCAACAAAGAAGAGGCCATGACTGCATTCCTTTGCTTGGGGCTGAACTAGACTTTAAGCCCAAAACAAGTCACACACACCCACACCTCTTTAAAAAAAAAAAAGCTGTTTATAGAAGCGGCGCTAGGAATCCTGTTCCTTATCTTCACATTTCCCCCCCCCCCCATACTTCGAAGTGGATGTATGCACACCCTGTCACTTGTCCCTCCTGCAAGATGCCTTGTATGGGTTGAGGCAGCAATGAAGCCAGGTAGGGGCACAAATGCCTTCCCCCACAGTTTCCCTTCTCACCCCTCCTTAGGGAAGAGCATTTAATAAAGAGGGCTTTACACGTAACCATGATTTGCAAGAGTGAGTGTAACTTCTAACCCCATAGAAGGAACATATACTCTGAAACTGGTGCAAGTAGTGGCTCATATTCTTGCTCTGTTGTTAGATCAGCGTGGTGAACTACATTGAGCGGAGGACAGGAGCAGGGAGCGACCAGCTGTTTTTTGTGGTGTTTGAATGGAAAGATCCTTTTATCCAGGAAGTTCAAGACGTGAGTAGACTTCCATCATGTGTGTGTTTTGTGTGGGGCCTTTTTAAAAAACATGGTAACTTCCAAACACTGTGGCTATGTAATATACCCAGTTCAGACCACGTGGCCAGTTTGGGCTCCACTCCCGCTCCAATCAGGGGGCTAGGTTCCCGGCCGAGAGCCTATGGAACTCTTCTCCACTGTAAATAACCTATTGGGAAGTGGGGGGGTGTTATGGGTGGCGGTTTCACGGGCAATATAAGCCGGCCTGCGAGCCGGCTAAAGTTGTCTTGTTCCTGATCTAATAAAGTACGCTAAGCTGAAATCACTCTCCGTCTGCGTACTTTTCAGGATACTTGTAGGTGCCATATCTGTATTCTTGTGTAGAAACTGTTGCCATAGACATTGTGAAAGATCTCAATAGGATTGAGTCTGGGCACCTAAGTAGACTAGGAACATGTCATTCAAAGTGGAGATTTGTTCACAAATGCGCTTCTGCCATACAGATAGCTCTTCAGAGCATAACCCCCTTTTCCTTTCCTCACCTAAACCCCTGAAGCAAATACTATTCCTTTGAGTTTAGAGAGGCTGAGATTCTGGAAACCCAAAGGAGAAAAATCTCCTTGTAATTTCTGCTAAAGCTGCCTTTCCCCACTCCTGCTGCTTTCGGCCTTCCTGTAATACTTGCAATAAAGCCACATTACAAATCACCAGCAGTGGAGTATCAGCAGCAAAAAAACCCATCCTTCTGGCAGTAGCACCCTTTAATTTCCTTTAGTGGCCCAAGGCAGTACAGCTTCTGAAAATTTACCACTTCAGGAGCTTTGTGGGAAAGCTGGCTGTACATTTCGAATGGAACTCTGACTCCTGCTTCTTCCTCCACAAAGGCCACATGCAGCCTTGTTTTTGTTTTTTTTATAGAAACGGTGAGTTCGGTGTTGTGATCTTGAATATGCTTATGAGACAGGTAGATTGCAATGTTAAAAGAATCTACCTATCTTCTACGTGCAATTTTTAGGTTTTAAAGTTTTGGAGTTCTTTTTAGTTACTTAACCTGTTCTTGTGGGGTTTTTTCTACTGATTTCAAAGGAATTTCTAACAGCTGAAATTCCCCACACAGTCAGCATGACACTGTCAATGATTATAGTGCCCCTTCCCTTGCTAAGCAATCATTGTACCTTCCCAGTTTCAGACAGAAAGGAAAAAGCATCTCTGATTCATAAACAGTTAACAATCTCATGTGCAGAACAGACACAAGGAAGTTGGACAGTTTCTTTACATGGGTTTTCAAGGAAAGATTGGGATGTATTTTTTTTTAATAGAATTTAGAGATTGGAGGACCAAAGCATTTATCTCTATTTCTTACCCCCCAAATGAGGCTGCAGCAGCCTGCTAGATGGTACAACCAAAACACTTGCTTTTCTTCCCTGCAAGCAGAGTGCCTTGCAGAGGACATGATGCATGGTCCGCCTGAACCAGCAGTACCTACAGAGTGTACAAGCAAAACACTTGCAGGCAGGCAGGCAGGCAGGCAGGCAGGCAAAGCACCACTGCAAAAAATGGGATCGCAAGTGAGCCACCCCATCCTCTTTCTCACACACAAAATCAAAGCCAGAGACAAGGCAGTGAGCAACAGTGCAAAGGCCATGCAGAAAATACCTGTTGGGACATCCTTTGGTAGGAACATCTGCTAGTTCTTCCAGATGGAAGACATCCCTGTGTCAGAGCCCCTCTTGTCCTTTGCTGCTGTCACTTGTGTGCAGCCATGGGACCAGACCAGTCCTTTCCAAAGTTTATAAATGTCGCCCTGACCTGGATAGCCCAGGCAAGCCCGATCTTGTCTGATCTCAGAAGCTAAGCAGGCCAACCCTGGCAAGTACTTGGATGGGAGACCTTCAGAGAATACCAGGGCTGGGACGCAGAGGCAGGCAATATCAAGCCACCTCTCTGAAACATCCAAGCCCCACTAGGGGTCACCAGAAGTCAACCATGACCTTCAGGCGCATACACACATACAAATACCCCCAAAAGACCAAAGTTTACAAACATTTAGCAATCAGATTAAATATCTCAAAAGGGAATTAATATTTGGATTACTTAATTTCCAAATGCATATCTCTGTCATTTTCTATGCCTATATTTTTGGCCAAACATTAAAACAGGCAAAAAGCCTGATGTTCAGTTCTGTTCTGAGAGGTTCGCAGTTAATGCATACCTTGCTCCTGGTTCAGTCCTTTGCAACTCTCATCTTCAGTAGAGGGCTGAGCAACAACTTTGCTTTTGAGACCTTAAAAAAAATTCTGAAAGTCACAGACAGTCATGGTTCATGCATCAAGGTTTATAGAATACGAAGAGCTTACTTTCTTCTGCTCTTCCTTCTCAGCAAGGTGGGTGGGCAGAAACGATTCACACAGTTTTCCAGAATAAGGATGCACCTGCGTATTTCTTATTGTAGTATGTATTCAGGAATGTGGGTATCAGGGCTGAAGATCTGACCATGTGAAAGAAAAATGGAGCTCTGTGGACCCGTTACAAGTGCCCGTTTTCCCCGTTGGTGAGCTTTTAGATTTGTGAAACAGCTTTTAGAGTAGCTGCCACTTCCACTCTTCTGTTGATAGTGGGGGCAACTTATTCCCATCTCCCATGCCACTGGTGCACAGATTGACTCATTTGAACAAGTGGGACTTAAATTGGCAGGGTGCGTGGTTAAGAATGGGAGGAAGAGAACTACCATGTGAGAAGACTCCTGTATGAAGCAGGTAAGCAGTCAAACCACTTTGGAACAAAGGTCTGAAAATGTATACCTATGGGAAATATTTGCATTACAAGTTTAATAGCTTAAAATCAGAAGTTGTTTTGTTTCCACAGATTGTCACTGCAAATCCCTGGAACATGATTGCCCTTCTCTGTGGCATCTTCCTGGCTTTATTTAAAGCAGCTGATTTTGCTAAACTAAGTGTGAAGTGGATGATAAAAATCCGGAAACGGCATCTCAAAAGAAGAAGTCAAGTCCTGAACCACATAAGCTGAGGACCATAAGCACCACTGGGCAAGTTCTGTAATCCACTGGAGACTATAAATCAGTACAGAAGCAGCTGACCTGCACAGATGTCAAGGAGTCCAAGGCTGAACCCTGTGGGTCCCCAGGGCAGTTGTCCACAAGTAACCAGACAGCAGTTTAATTTTACAAAATAAGTTTAGAAAGTTTATTTCAAATTCCAATCAATATATAGATTTATTCTACAGCCAACATTCTAAAATCTTGCAGTGAGAAAACAAGAAAGCTAGCTCAAGTGTCTAATACTTCTTGGGGTTGCATTAGATGGCACCAACCTTAAAGTCAATAAGTGGAGAGCCAGTTTGTTGTAGTGGTTAAGTGCGTGGACTCTAATCTGGGAGAACCGGGTTTGATTCCCCACTCTTCCGCTTGCACCTGCTGATGTGACCTTGGGTCAGTCACAAACTCTGGCACAGCTGTCCTTGAAAAAGAGCAGTTTGTGTCAGAGTTCTCTCAGCCCCACCCACCTCACAGGGTGTCTGTTGTGGGGAGGGGACGGGGAAGGAGTTTGTAAGCCGCTCTGAGACACCTTTGGGTAGTGAAGGGTGGGGTATAAATCCAATCTCTTCTTCTCTAATTAAAAGCCAAGGCTTAATATGCGTTCTCTTCGCTGCTAGCAATTGCAATTCAAGCAGATCATAGTTCAGGCCTTTAGTCTATCAGGATCTCAGGTAGCGTCAATCTTTCAAGGCCTTAGTTGAATTATAGTTTTTGGCCCAGCAACCTCAGGTGATGATGACATCCAATCAGAACATGTTCTCCGGAGAAGGTTCTAGAACATTACCTCACCATTCCTGGTTCTCCTTTCCTCACCTATGGGCCACAGGCTCCCATAAGAAATGAATCATGGCACCTTCATCTTTGGCTTTGGAGATGATAAGGCCAAACTTGCCAAATGGCAACACCTGCAAGATGGACTAGGCCTTTTCTATTCACACTAACCTTGAGAAGGGAGGCAAGGGGTGCTTTGGCTCATGACAGAGAAATTGCATTGTCAGGCTTAATTGTTTTGCTGGAGTATTACACCCAAACACTTGGAAGTTTTAGAAAATCAAGTTTGTAAGAGCTCCTATGAAGTCAAAGCTCTTTTTAAACATAAGTTTCTTTACTAAGCTATGATGAGAAAGGAAGACTTCTGAAACCTTTTGTAACAGAACATACCGTCTAGTATGTATGGACAAGTCTTTAGTAGTAAAGCAAAACCAAGACTGGTTTCGAACATAAGATTCCTGCCCCTCTTCACTAGTTGTCTCTACCAGGGAACCCAGTGGTAATGAGTTTAGTTAATCCTGTGGTCCTGGTTTGGAGTTCAGCATTTTCAAGTTAAAATCTCAGGGAGAAAGATGCCTACTTGAAGGCCCAAGGGGTGCTTGGCTTCAAGGTATTTTTCTATTGGAGATGACATCACCAAAATAGATGATCTGTTGGCCTGATCCAATGTAAGGCAGCTTATTACAGATCTGTTCCAACATGGATGTATCAAACAGGCTAATCAGGAGGTGAAAGCAGAGATGCTCAAACACCAGCTGGTTCGGCTTGCATCTCGTTTTCCAGTGGCAAACAGGTAGCCAATTGTGTAATGGACTGTTCATTTACACATTTGTGGCTGTTCAGCCTGTTGCTTCACTTTATTCCTTCCTAACAGAGCAATACAGTGCAATCAGTTTTTCATATAGCTGTAGCTACCATTTTTCCCACTGTGCCACTGGAGGGCTTTTTAAAAAGCATGATAACTGCTGTTTTACACTAACATTCTAATGAGCTATCACCACTTTCTTTGAAGTCCCAGGTTTTTTTTTGTTAAAGTCTCTTGCCCCTTTCATTGCAGACTTCTAAGGGAAATGTGATGCCTGCACCTTTCTTAAATGGGTGGTGGTGGCTTGGCTTGCCACTACAGCCATGGATAGTTAAGTCTGATAAAAATGAATGCTGTTTTTTAAAAATCCTACCCTTCAATGGTCATCTAAGTAGTTCTTAGTGAACTGCTACTAATTTGTTTGAATTGTTTTGTACTTGCACAGCTCTGAAAATCCCAATGTAAATCTGTTCAGCAGAAAAAGTCATTTAAAGCCCCCCAAACAGACTGGGTGAAAACTCACACCTTCTTGTCACATGCCAACACAGTAAGTTTGACTGTCAAACTTGTTAGACACAAAATTTGCAGTATCTAAGAATATCACTAATTTAGACTACTAAAGGTTTACACTGTTTCAGAAAGGTGAATGGTCAAAAGGACCCATTTCTGCAGGACAGAATACTGAAAGCACTGGAATTTTAATCAAGCATTCCATTTTGGTTAAAAATGTGTCTGTGTAAAGTGTTTCAATAAATTATGTTTGTGTGCAGCTTTTTAAAACTATTAGCTCATTAGTCAACTGCTGCTTTCTGTGATTATGTGATTCTGGATGCAACACTTGGAGGGTACAGTCCAGCTCTCCTAAACTTACTGGCGGCAGCGGCAGCAACTCCAGAGAAAGCAAAGTTGTGTCCTTTATGCTAGTAACCGCCAGATGAACATATCCCCCAGTTGGTTCCAAAATAATGTGGGCCAGTTTCAGGCCAGTTCTTTCAAATGCCTGAAAAAGTGTTTTCGGTGGTAATAATGATTAATAATCATCGCATGGCAGTGTGTGTAATATAGCCAGGAGATTCTAAGATTGTCTGGCAGCCAGACGTTCTAGCTCTTTTAGGAGCTGCGGTGGCTCAAGTGGTTAAGACGCTGAACTGCAGGCTGTGGAAGGTCAGTAGTTCAGCAGTTCGAGACCCGAGTATGCCGCATGACGGAGTGAGCGCCCGTCTCTAGTTCCAGCTCCTGCCAACCTAGCAGTTCGAAAGCAAGAAATTGCAAGTAGATAAATAGGTACCACTTCGGTGGGAAGGTTAACAGCGTTCCGTGCACCTTGGTGTTTAGTCACGCCGGCCACATGACCACGGAAACGTCTTCGGACAGCGCTGGCTCTTCGGCTTTGAAACGGAGATGAGCACTGCAACCCTAGAGGCGGACTCGACTGGCTTTCGAGCAAGGGAACCTTTACCTTTTACTTTTTACCACTGGGTGGCAAGCTGGACTTGTTTTTTAAGGCAAGAGATCTTTTAGAGATGGTTTGCCATTGCCTTCCTCTGTGATATGCTCCTGGTATTCCTTGGAGGTCGCCCATCCAAATACTAGCCAGGGTCAGCCCTGGTTAGCTTCTGAGATCCGATGACATTGGGCTAGTCTGGCCTATTCAGGGTCAGGGTTTTTGAATGGGAAGAACCACCAATCCACGAAAAGCTTCCAAGACAACATGTATGAGTATTTCTAAATAGGATGAAACTGATTTTTTCCACATCTGGAACCCTGTAGAGTTACTTAAAACTGAAACTGTAGGCTGGCTGTAGCCATGAGGTAAAGATACAGTTGGGCTCTCCCCAATCTATTTAATCATGGCAGTTCACTAGAAGCTGATCCAGTGTCTAGGTACACATAATCTATTTATTGTAATGTAAAAACGTGTGCCTAACCTCACACAGGATCAGGTTGTAGAAAAAGTACAGCTGCAGAACATGCCAGTTTGGTGTAGTGGTTAAGTGCGCAGACTCTAATCTGGGAGAACCGGGTTTGATTCCCCATCCCCACTCCTCCACTTGCACCTGCTGGATGACCTTGGGCAAGCCATAGTTCTGGCACAGCTGTTCTTGAGAAAAGAGCAGTTTCTGTCAAGGGTTCTCTCAGCCCCACCTACCTCACAGGGTGTCTGTTGTGGGGAGGGGAAGGAGTTTGTAAGCCGCTCTGAGACACCTTTGGGTAGTGAAGGGCGGGGTATAAATCCAGTCTCCTCCTCCTCTTCTTACTACTTTTAGGGGACAGACTGTGGCTCAGTGATCAAGTATCTGCTTTGCCTATATAGGGTCCCAGGTTCAGTCTTCCGCCTCTCTAGTTAAAATGATTTTATAGTAGGTGATGTGAAAGACCTGTGCCCGAGACCCCCTGCCAGTAAGTGCAGACAACACTGACACAGTGTAAGGCAGCTCCGTGTGTATGTATAAGCCAGTATCAATAATAAGAAACCGTAACGTACTATGGCTGAAGCAGTCCTTCCTGATAGAACTGTTGCGGCTCCAGTGCACCAGAGCAGGTTCATCACTTAACAAGAGTGTGAACTAGAGAAGCAAAACGCTGTCAGGTTTGCTGCCACCAGGTCAGCCTACATCCCAACTCTTAACATGAGGACAATTTTATCTAAATGAAGGATTCTATTCTCTATTATGTTTTGCAGCACTTCCTTTTCCATTTATCAGAAGTAACCAACATCAGTATACCCAATTCTCAAAGCGGTCTAATCTGTGGATACTTAAAGATTGGTGTCAAGAAGATGTGTCAGTGAGAGAGATATCAATTATTATAAAATATAGGAACAACCTCTTCAGTACAGTGATGCAAGTCCCATCCAGCAGAAGAGTCCACCTAAAATATCACCAGACATTGATTTACGTCCAATCCATTTGTCATGTTATCCTCTTCAGTTCGACAGACCATGGCTTGGATCCAGCGATAAACAAGTGGAAACATAACAGGATTTAGTGCAGTTCTGCTTGCACAAAGTCTTCTGCAACACCTTGCACTTTCATCCCTATATATTATAGTGCCCAGAAATTGGTTGCAAAATATTGTGTGCAAGTGACTAGTGCAGTCGTCTTGCACTTCTGCTTGCAAAAGGGCTCTAAGCCCTGGATCCAACTCAATGTTTGGGTTAGTCCTACATTTTCATGAATGCTGCATTAATTTAAACACATTTCTAGTGAAACCACCAGTGTAGCCATTCTTTTGTACAGTGTGGTTAAACTACAAAGACAGCAATATACCAAACTAATTACAAACATAAAGACTTTATTGAATGCTGCTCAATCCCTCAATACAAAACTGTTTTCCACACGATTGCAATTTAAGGAAATTGGAATGGTACTCTGAAAGATCTGCCCAAAAAAAAAAAATCCCCCACCTGATCAGATAAAAACAGACAAGACTTGGTAAAGTCAGCTTTTCCCAACTTAAATAAGAGCACTGTATTTTCATTAAACAAAACAGGAGTTACTTTATCAGACAGGTATTTCATTCCTGGATAGGAATTACAGAGCCCAAGCCTCTACCTTGCAGAGCCAGCTCAAAGCAGAACTGCTCTGTTGTATAAGAACTCTGGGGCCACTAGGAGCTCTGGTGAAATGCTCAAAAGGAAATGCCACCCTCTGTTACAAAACAAGAATCACCACTGAATGCCTGACTAAAGGCAGAGATGTGGTGACCCAGTGGTAGCAAGGCATCCGGAGAAGCTGCTGCCTCCCTACCCAGTCAGAGTGTGCACGTGGTATCCTATTTTTAACTTGTGCTCTATTTAACCCCCCTCCCTTCACACACACACCCATCGCTTTGCTCTCTGGAATGTTTTGTGCAGTAACAGCTTTGAAATCTGTGGCAATGTAATGCACAGAAGAGTAAATGCACAGAAGAGTATTTCATCCAGATAAAATATACCCTGCAACCCAATCTTGTGTGTGCTTACTCAGAAAAAAGACCAACTGGGGTCAACTGGGCTTACTCCCAAGTATGTGTAAGATTGTAGTTTTTAGTTTCATTTGAGAAAATACAGCACAACTAGAAGTCTCTTCTAGAAATCTCAGCCAAACCTGCAGTAATGTGAAAAGCACATAAGGGAAAAACGTAAATAGCTGACTTCTATACCTATGTGCAACACACAATAAAAAAGAAAAAATTCAAGTCAATTTTCACCACTCCCATAATTAAAATCACACACATCATGGATGATAAAATTCACTTGTGAAAAGTCAGAAGTGATAATATAGCAATGATTAGACAAATTTACAATATGCTGTGTAAATGTCACATTCAGTTATTGTATTTCTGTTCAAAAACTTTCATTTACATTTTGCCAGAGGAAAAAAATAGGCCATTTCAAATATACTGATGAGGTTTCTCTTCTGTATTTTACATATGTAAAAAAGGGGATCCTGTGAAGGAGTCATTTTCACTTGGCACTTCGTCTTCAGGTTGTGTATTTATTGTGAGTGTGCTAGCCTGCTCAGGCAGGGCTTTTTTTAGCTTTAGTTCCTCCAACTTCCTCCATAGTTCTTCACGGTCTAGCTCCTTCTTCTTCTCTCTGTAGAAAAGACAAACAATTGTGTGTCTTTAATCACTGGGCACTCTTACCACAGGGATAAAGTAAGAGCATCCAAAGCAAAATAATTCCAAGATTAACAGCTTTATCAAGGCATGAGCTTGTCTCTACAAAGGCTTACTTTACGGGATGTGCAAATACATGCGAGAAGGTGTGTGTGTGTGTACAGAGAATGCAAGCACATTCTACAACTAACGCTTTGTGCAGATAAAACAAGGTTGCGCTTACCTGTAACCATTACTTATCGAGTGGCCTTCTGTGCAGGCACACATGGGTCTGCATGGTTGCAGGCCAGCCACGGAGAAGAGCTTCCAAGCTTTCTAAAGAAGTTCCCAGGCTCTGGAGTGCTCCTCCTCTCCTCTGTCTACAGAGACTCTTTTCCTGCCCAAAGGGTCACGTGACAGGTGGGGCAAGCACTCCTCCCTCAGTTCTTTTTGCTGCCATGAGGAGGACCCCTGCAGGGCTGGCAGCCCGCAGCGGGAAAAGGAGGGAGGGATGTGTGCTATCACAGAAGGCCACTGGATGAACAACAGTCACAGGCAAGTGGAACCCCATTTTCATCATCGTGGCTTCTGTGCAGTCCCACATGAGAGAACAAGCTCACTTGCCAAGTAGGAGGGTGTGGGCTGAACGACACATTGCTTGTAACGTTGCCTTCCCCACTGCAGCTTCTTTTGTGGCGTCCACATCCATCGAGTAGTGCTTGACAACCGTAGAGGGAGTGGACCATGTCGCTAATTTAAAATGTCCTCCAGCACAGGTCTGGCATGGAAAGCTGCTAAAGAAGCCTGGGCTCTCATGGAGTGAGCTTTCAGGGACACGGGGCAAGAGATCTTAGCCTCATCATAAGCTGTTTTGATTGCTGAAACCACCCACCTAGAGAGAGAGACTCTGCTGAGGCAACTCTCCCTTTCTTTGGGCCTCTAAAACACAGAAATAATTTCCTACCCTTCCTGAATTCTTGTGTCATTTTTAAATAAAAAAGAAGTGCCCTCTTCACATCTAGAGTGTGTAGGGTTTGTTCTAATGGAGACGTCAGGGACAGGAAGAGCACTGGGAGCATGATGTCCTGATTGAGGTGGAATGGCAACATCACTTTAAGGAGAAACTCCAGGCTAAGCCTGAGGACTACCTTGTCTGGGTGGAACTTGATAAAGGAGGGTTCACACTGAAGTGCACGGCGTTCATCTACCCTTCTGGGAGAGGTGACCACCACTAAGAAGGCGGTCTTGTAAGAAATAAACGACAACTCAGCATTGGCTATGGGTTCAAAAGGTTTATACATTAATTTTGATAGGACTAGGGACAAACACCATTGGGGAACTGGGGGGTACAACAGGAGAAACCATGTTAAGTATCCCTTTTAGAAATTTCTTGGACTCAGATACAGAGAAAACTGACTGCCCCTTAACTGGGTTATGATGGGTGGATATTGTGCCCAAGTGAACTTTTATTGACAAGGCCGCTAAACCCCCTTTCCTGCAATTCCAGATGGTCAAAAATCCTCCCCAAATTGCAAGACTGTGGATCAAGCCCTTGCTTGTCACCCCAATGAACAAACCTCTTCCATTTGTATTACTTCCTTCTTGTGGGTTTACAGGAGGCTGTAATAACCTGTTCTACCTTTTGTGAAAGCCTTCCAACTGCAGGATCAACCAAGCCGTCAGGTACAAGGATCCCACCTCTGGGTGGCAAACCAGGCCTATGTGAAGGAGGTCGTTCTCTAGGGGGAGTGTTATGTACTGCCGTCTGGCCAGTTTCCACCATGTGGGGAACCAAACCCTTCTGAGCCAATAAAGGGCCAGAAGTACACATGATGTCTGGTCTGCCTTCACCTTGGAAATTACCCTGTGGAGGATACCAATGGGGGGGAATATATAAGAAAGATGGCCATGCCATTGCCATTGAAAGGCATCCCCCAAAGAACCTATGCCCTTAGCTGACCTGGAGCAGAAAAGATGGCATTTTTTGTTGTTGATGTAAATAGCTCTATCTCAGGACCCCCTATTCCCTGAAGACTGGGGCCAGGTAGAGGTCTTACATGGTCCACTCTCGTTCTGCACTTGTGTCTCCGCTCAGGCTGTCTGCCAGGGTGTTGTTTAGACTGGCTAAGTGAACTGCTGTCACCTGTACCCCGTGTCTTACTGCCGATTGCTAGATGAGTGTGGCCTCTGCACAGGTGCATGGATCCCGTGCCTCCCTGCTTTTTCAGGTTAGGGTTAGGTAACCCTAACCCTAACTTTGCTGTGACATTGTCCGTTGCTACCAGAATGTGTCTTCCTCTGGTGATCTCTGCAAAAGAAGTGAGAGCTAGTTCGACGGCTCTCAATTCTAACAGATTGATGTGAAGGCTGGACTCCCTTTTCATCCATTTACCTCTCACCCTTAATCCCTGATAGTGGGAACCCCATCCTGTGAGGGAAGCGTCAGTGAAAAGGTGAATTTCATGGGACTGGATCCCTAGGGGGACTCCTTTGAGAAGATTACCAGATATGGACCACTATGAAGTTAGCAATTAGACCCTCCTCCCACAGAGGGGCTGTTTTTGGGTAGAGAGAGAAAGAAAAACACTCCTCTTAATATCACCCCAAAAACCATATGTAAAGGACACTGCCTGGCCCAAAAGGAAACAAAATGGATGCCAGCCAGGAACAAGCCTGGGCAAGTATTTTGGAAGGTGATTCAGAGCGGCTGTTTAATGTCCCCTCCACACCCCAGAGAGATGAATAATTGATGGGACAATGGGTCCATCAGGATCTATTGACTCACCTTGGACTAATTGCTTCAAGTCCAACCTTACTTCCTCTGCACCCACTTACCCTAATTACTCTTTATTCACCAAACCCATTAGCTTTCCTGTCCGGTACTTGCACGGTCATCAAGCTTCTTTCACATTTTTTGTCTACCTTAGGAAAACCCATCAAGTTACTATTTTTCTGGCAAACGTGTCATACCCACCAAAGGGCATGTTTTGCCTTATATCAGAAGCACTCTGCTTCCTGGAAGTCTCTGTGTAGGTCTTGGATCCTCTGCATCGACCCCCACTTTGTTGGGCTCTCCCCTCTCATGAAATGCTGGTTGTTTCGCTGCTTCCGCAGACCTTTCCTCAAGACAGGTAATTACCATTGTGTGTTTGTTTTATTCTTTTTTTTGTAAATAAAAACAAAACCTTTCTAGTTGAACATTTGCCTGGTTTATTTCAAGAGTTCTCTTAAGGGAAAAATCCCTGTAAGCACAGGTGGAGAATCTCAGTTACCCCCTCTCGCTCTGTCTCCTTAAAGCTAATTCCCCCAACTAATTAGGAGACTGCCTATTTGGGTAACAATGAGGCATGTTACAATGGGTCTCAGGACTGATAATTTTTTCTAATGGGGTTCAGAATTTGGGCCAAAGTTCCTTATGAACCAATTCTGTAATGGTCTCATGCATAAGCATGCATATGGAGTCGAGGCCATGTATCCTTAGGCTAGGAGTCTTTGAATGGACCTAGCTGATCGATACCTGCTGGACAAAATCTTTTTCACAAGGGCTTACATCATTCTGACCCTGGCTAGGGTGCAGGTATGCCTTCCCATCTAAGGCACTCAAGGATACCCCGATGAATTCAATAGACTGGACCAGAGCTAGGCGGGACTTCTCCCAATTCACTAGGAAGCCCAGGGACTGAATGGTGTTCTAGGGCGAAGTTCAAATTCGCAGCCAGCTTATCTGGGGAGTTGTCTATAAAGAGCCAGTCATCCAGGTAAGCCAGTCATCCATGCACCCCCTTAACCTTAAGCGAGCTATGACCTCTGCCACACATTTAGTAAATACTCTCTGTACTCATAAGCAGTGTTCCCTCTAAGCTGAGTTAGTGTGAGCTAGCTCAGTTTTTTAGCCTCCAGCTCACACATTTCTGTTTTAGCTCAGGAAGGATGGCTCCAGAGCAAATTGATTTATGCAGTAGCCAAATCGCTCACTCACAACTTTAATGTCAGTAGCTCAGAAAGTAGAATTTTTGCTCACAAGACTCCACAGTTTAGAGGGAGCATTGCTCATAAGTAGCCCCTGAGTAACAAAATCTTAAGTATTTCTTACAGGGTTCATGGATCAAAATATGGAAACATGCATTCTTTAAGTCTAAACTAGCAAACCAGACATTTTGGCCCGTGAGTGACATCACTTCATGAATAGAAAACATCCTGAATTTTGGGACCTGTAAATATTTATTCAGGGATCTCAGGTCCAGGACAGTTCTCTTCCCACCCTTTTGTCAATGGCAAAATATCTTAAGAAGCCCTTTGAGTCTTCCCCAGGGGTGAGTTTTGTAATTGTGCCCTTAGTCAAAAGAGAAGCGGCCTCCTGCATCAGGAAGGGTGATGAATTACAGGTCTGGACCAATAAGCATTGAAGCGGAGGCAGTGATTTAAATTCCAAAAAATAAGCCTTCTTTATTATTGATAACACCCACGAGTCAACAGTAACTTGGCACCAACTATGAAAGAACTTAGATTACCTATCCAGAAACAACTGGTCAGAATTTAGTCAGACAGAGGGAGCACTTCTTGAGTGCTGATCCCTAGGGGACTGAGACAGATTTATTTATTAGATTCAGTTTGTATCCCGCCCTTCCTGCCGAAGTGGGCTCAGGGCGGCTTACATTAAAAGTTAAAATACAATAAAACACAAATTCAGTGCATACAAAACACATCATAAAATTCATATACATTCCTTCCCTACTGTCTACACTGCCTTTTTGGCTGAGGTTGTTGAGTGTAGGGTGGTCTACTGACCTGCTGGCGGGTCAGTGGGGGTTGGTATCTATTTATATTTTATTTTATTTATACATTCGATTTATATACCGTTCTTAACCCCAAAGGGTCTCTGAGCGGTTTACATACAGGTTCCAAACTCAGTTTATCCTATCTAAGGCCACATAGTACACAAGGGACGGGGCTGCCTACCGGCACCCAGGTGTCAGGGCTTGCTGTTCTCCGGCTTCCACTGTTTTCTATATTCTTAGTTACAGTATGACCTTGGTTAGTGATAATTCTGGGTATGCCTCGGGAAGTACCTTTGTTTCTTGAGCGTTGATGAATTGTGGGTTATGTCAAAAGACCTGGCTGTCAGCTTGTTCTTCCTAATGCAGTCCAAAACCGTATTGGTTTGACAAAGTCCGAGGCCATGGATCTGCTATTGTGCACCGTGCCTGGCCACATTAAGCTGCTGCTTCCCTAGCTTTTGGCTTTCTGCAATGAGGACCTTAGCAATGCTCTGCTTATCAACAGGTAAGAGCTCCACAAATTGTAACATCTTTTCCCACAGCAACATTTGGTAGCGGCCCATCACTGCCCTAAAATTGGCCACCCTCAGTCCCACTGCACTGGATGGGTAGATCTTTCTTCCCAACAAGTCCAGTCTCCTGCTTTCCTTGTCAAGAGAGGATGAATGACTGCCTGCTCTTCTGACACTACGGAATTTGCTTGGGGGTGGCGAAACAAGTAGTCACACCTCTCTTCCTTGATCTTATAGAGATTCTCCAGTTTGTTAGATGAAGCTGGGGTGGAGGCTGGCTTGGCCCAGATGGCCATGGCTATATCTTGCATCCCTTGAAGCATAGGGAGAGCCACAGGATCCGAGTTGGGGCTATATAACACTTTCATTATAGAATCAGTTGACTAGGGTTCCAAATCATGGAATTCTAACCCCAGGGCTTTTGCCATTCAGACCAGGTTCTCTGTGGGAGAAGGAGCCAATGGGTCGGCAACTGTATCTTCCAAGGAGGGCATCGAAGTGCCCTCTGAACCCAAGATCTGGTAGAGCACGTCTTCAGATCCTTGATGAGGGGGTTCAGAGTTGGATCCCTGGAATTGCTCACAGCAATATCCTCTGGATCTGGAAGCATTCTTTTGAGGCTGCCATGGTTATGGAACCTGCGCCGTTGCCCAGGGTCCCCATTGCAGTGGCCTCATGAGCGGAAACGGCCCCCAGGGATTTTGCTGCAATGGCCACTGGTTCAGTGGCTGAAGCTCCGGCTGTCTTTTGTCTTGCAGCATGGATGGCCTCAAAGGGGGTACCTTGAACACCTCGTCCTCTGATGACTCCGGAGATCTGGTAGTTCATCTTGATGGCAAAGGTGTCTTCGGATGGAAGAATGGGTCAATCTTGAGCCCTGGTGGTGAATCTGGGTGTCCAGGGGACATCGTTCTAAGGATCGGCAGTGTTGACGTTTGACTCTGAAGGGAGTCAGCCCACCAGGTTTGTGGCAGGGAAGATCCATGATCCTGAGTCGATGGTGAAGTCTGGTTTCATGGAGATAGGAACTGTTGATTTTAAGGTGAGACTGAATGGCGTCAAAGGCTGCGGCGGGAGTGTTTAGCACTTTTCTTATCTTTTTTTGGGGGGCGGCTCTAATGCCAATCTCAGAATGGAGGTTTGTGATTGCAGTTCCAATGTTGAGGGTATTGGTGCCGAAGCCACTGAGTGGGCCCTCATCCCTTTTTCCATCATAGCCCATTTCTCCCTGTGGGTCTGGGGCACCCACGGCCTTTTCCCATAGTGCCACTTTAAGTCTCGTGGCTCTGCCTTCATGGGCATGTGGCTATAGGGCATGTGACCATACTGTGGCCCTCTCCCAAACATAGGAGACAAGAGATATGGTCTTCATTCCAGGCCATTTTGCTCCCCACTCCCCACATGTCTGAAAAAGAGCCATCCTAGCGATTCTGTAGGTCAAATCCTAACACTCTCAGTGGACTACTCTTTTGAGGCTCCACGAAGTAGCTTGTAGAAGTACATCCTTTCCTCACAGCAGCAAGAAGATAACTGAGGGAGGAGTGCTTGCTCCACCTCTGTCCTGTGACACTTTGGGTGGGAAAAGGGACCTCTGTAGACAGAGGGGAGGGGGAGCACTCCAGAGCCTAGAAACATCTTTAGCAAGCTTGGAAGCTCTTCTCTGCAGCTGGCCTGCAATCATGCAATCCCACGTGGGACTGCACAGAAGTCCTGTCAATGAACAAAACATCTTTGTGCACATTTCCAAAACCAGAGATAATTTACTTTTACTCCTTAACCTTATTTAGATGAGTAACGAACAACCATTTTAACTGAGGCCTGCTGTTTGAATATTCACCACAGTGACCCTAAAGCCAGAAATGGACTGAAGGCTCAGAATGCAAGAGATTAGTCCTCTGCTGCTTTCAGGAGTCCCTGAAAAACTTGGATTTGCAGTCAGCACATTTTTTTTCTGTCTATGGATCAACTTGCTAAGTCTTTTGAAACAGCCCACGTAACCGATTAATGATCTCATTGTACTGCCATGTGTTACTAGCTCTAGACTACATCTCTTGAAAACTGCTGCTCTGCTCAAGTGACCGGCGCTTACCAAGAAGACTGCCATTCTGAACATGCAACTGTGTCTGGAAACAAGATCACTGTAGAAACAGAACCATGTAAGCAAGGAAATCTAAAAACCATAAAAGGCCCTTTTTTCTTGCACTAGTATGTCACTTGGTTTGACTCCGCATCTATAGATGGTGAATATTCACGTGAACATTGTACTCTCTGTTCTGCCGCTTAAAGCCCTTTCAAAACTGTGGGCACCTTTGGAGTTCTGAGGCAAGGTGGTGACGAGCACAGCCACAGAATAGCTGCCACGGGAAGTGGAGTCAACCACAAAACGTCAGGATATGAAATTATGTATAACTCTAATAGTAACTTCAACATTTCAGGCAGAATTACTGTTTAATGGAATGCCTTTTAAGAATGAACACCCACAGCAAAACAAGTGAAGATCCTTGTGCTGTGGTGGCAGCTATTGCTGAAGCAAATTTTTAAAATACCTGCACAGCAAAGCAGCAGCTGTACTGGCCGAAAGCCCCACCTGGCCTCGCTCACGTTCTAAAAACACTTGGTGGGCACCCAAAAAGGTGTTTACGGGTGTCACGGCACCCATGGGCACCATGTTAGGGACCCCTAGGTTAAACCGTCAAGAACGTCTCCCTCGGTGCTCCATCTGAGACTTTGCACAGAACAGAAGTGGCCAACTGTCCATCTCAGCACCTGCTGGCTCAGAGGTGGCCCCTCACGCCCTTCCGCTATGCCAAGGCAGCCTCATCTGGGATGGCAGCTGCACCTGATAACTTCCTTAGAACCAAAGAGGGGAAAGTTCTCTGCAATGGTAAGAGGCCTTTGAGCACATCTTTCCATCTGAATGTTGGAAGGAAACCCAAGTGTGACAGCTCTGCGGCTGTCTTAGCACTCGTCTAAAGAACATCACAACAAAGAGGCCTGGCTCCTCCTTTAATACCGGGGGAAGGCAATATCGTGCCTGCTCAGCCCCCGAGATGCTCAGCCCCAAAGAGCAGCCATCCTTTGAAGACGTTTTTTCCCCCCTAAGCTTATCAGATTTGCAAAGCATTAATCTGCACCAGGGATTGCAATCTTCTTTGGCGTCCAACATATGCTGGGTGCTGTATGAACACATGCATTTCACACCTTGAGACTTAAAGGCTACTGAACAGAAGCCCTTACTAAAGTGGGAAGGTAGGTCTGGAAAAGAGCAGCAATGGCCCTGACCTGGATAGCCCAGGCAAGCCTGATCTCGGAAGCTAAGCAGAGCCGACCCTGGCAAGCGCCTGGAAGGGTGACCCCTCCACGGAATACCAGGGCTGGGACGCAGAGGCAGGCAATATCAAGCCACTTCTCTGAAACATCCAGGCCCCACTAGGGGTTGCCATAAGTCCCTATAACTCCCAGGCTTGCAAGCGCACACACACACAAATACTCACCTCCCCCCCCAAAAAAGAAAAACAGCAGCAATGAACTGATTGCTAGCAGACTGAACAGAAAATGCGAGGCTCCAACAGTCCAGGCAAAGCTTCATATGATAAATGGATTTGAACGAGAATTTAAGGGAAAGGAGTTGTTTGATGCAGACAGAATTATTCGCAACTAAAAAACCCCACAAAATCATCTTAATCCCAAAATCAGGATGCAATTCAGATGATACTTTCAGAGCAAGCATCAAAGTAAAATACCTTTGTCTCTCTGCTTTGTAAGAGTTTGTGAGTTCATCAAATAGTTTCCCATTCATCTCCATCAGTGTTTTCAGCACGTTATATACTAATGCTACAATGGTCCTAGAACAAAAAAAGGGGAGCATGTTAGGAAACTGACGGTTGTATTACAACATCTGTTCTGAATATGTCCAACGGCTGCTCTCATTTTGTAGCCACTTATGTAAAGTACCAGGCAACAACACGATCTAAATGGTAGTTTTAAAACAGATGTTTTCTCTCTTGACTTAATATGAACATGGAAGATGTTTGGCCCAGTCTCTGCTTTTGATTAATAAAGCTTTAAAGCAGCAGGGTAGCGCCAACTAATCCAGTGAAACTGATGATGACTACTGCAATATTAAATAGCTCAGAGGTCATAAAATGACTGGCTGGCACAAATAAAAAGCAACTATGCAAGTGTCATTATATAACAGTAACATACGGAAGGCCATTTTCTATAGAGATTACAGTAGTATCATTCAGATCCAATTCAAATTCTACACATTCAAGAGACTAATTTTATAATTCCTTGTGCTTACAGGAACTTAGTTCAAAATTAGGTTACCTAAAATCATATAAACAAGTGTGGCCCCACAAGAAACTTGTGGGGAGGGGGCATTTCCCCTGCCTTTTTATCCTTCCCTCTTCCCCCTCTCTATTAATGTTCCCACTGTCTCATTCTGCCTCCACCCCTTATCTATCAGTCTTCCCTCATCCCCTTTCTACCCTTACACCTTCTACGTCACTCTTCCCCCTCTCTCCTACCACCCCTTATCTGGCAATCCTCTCTCATCCCCCCTTTCTCCCCCCACCCCTTCTCAATCACCCCCCTTTGAAGTGGCTTGATAGCCTGCCTCTGCCTCCTGACCCTGGTATTCTCTGGAGGCCTCCCATCCAAGTACTTGCCAGGGTTGGCCCTGCTTGGCTTCCGAGATCTGACAAGATCGGGCTTGCCTGGGCTATCCACGTCAGGGCCAGCAGCTGTCCTTTCAAAACTTTCCCTTGGCTTCTAACCAGTCAGACTTCAGAGAGAAGCAACCCTGGAGGCGGGGAGGAGGAGTCTTTGCTCCGACCCCATAGCTCCACCATTGCTTCTCCCTGCAGTCTGGCTAACTAGAAGCCAGGGGAAAGTCTTAAAAGGACAGATTATTATCATCATCATCATCATCATCGCATGGCATTATGTGTAATGTACCCAGGAGATCCTAAGATTTTCTGGCAGCCAAAAGTTCTAGAACTTTTAGCATTATGCACCACTCGGTGGCGAGCTTGACTTGTCTTTAAGGCAAGAGACATTTCAGAGGTGGTTTGCCATTGCCTGCCTCTGCGTCATGACCCTGGTATTCCACAGAAATCTTTAGTAAAAGACAAAAGATTTATACAATTTGAAGAGAAACCAGAGCTGGCAGCTACGGAGACAGGGGTCCTTTTAAAAAATTTCCCACCAGTTTCTAACTGACCAGACTGCAGGGAGAAGCAATGCTGGAGACGGGCAAGTGGGGGCGAAGAACTCACCCACCCCCCACCTCCAGCGTTGCTTCTCCCTTCAATCTGACCCGTTAGAACCTGGTGGGAATTTTTTTTAAAGGACAGCTGAGCCAGTGGCTACGGAGTCTTGTGAGTGGGTGAGGAGACTCCTTCTCACCACCACCTCTGTAGCCGCCAGCTCAGGCGCCCTCTGAAAAATTTCCCACCAGCTTCTAACTGGCCAGACTGTGGGGAGAAGCACTGCTGGAGGTGTGTGTGTGTGTGGGGGGGAATGCTGCTTTTCCCTGCCCTCTTTCCCTCCCCTCCTGCAGCAGTGCTGTGTTTGGGTTTTTTGAAAAAAAACCTCATACCTTTTTAGCAGAGGATTAAGAATTTTCTGCAACCATGAAGGGGTCCCACAAATCTGGAGAAAAATCTCTCTTCTCCCCATGTGGGCTCAAACAGCAGATATAAGTTCCTAGAGGAGCCCCCATCTGACTACCAGTATATAGATAAGATAACAGACTATCTTTGTTAGAAGGTGGGAGATTTGACTGACTTTTAAATATGAACAACTGTTTGCAAGATACTCTTCCAGCTGTTTTGATTTACTATACTTTTGTCACTGATTTTCATTCTATGATGATGGCTTCTTAATAGACGTAACCTCAGGCTCTGTAAACCCTGAACGCAGCAGAGTCCATGACATCCTGACATATAAATCCAGCAATTCTAGCTTTCTGCAGAGATACTCTCTTGTTAACTTTTCCCTAAATCTCACTCCAAAATAATTAAATCATCATTATTTAGGGGACCTTCAAGAGAACAGATACCCTCCTATTTCACTAGTTATTCAACTTTATTCTTTTGGCACAAGTTGGATTTCTAGCATAATATGGACTGCCTACTTGTGGAAACTTGCACACATGTTTAATTCATCAGAAAGCTTATGACAAACGCTAACTCAATATATATCTAAAAGGTACTTTAAAAAGAATGAATGGTAAAGAGTACATACGGGTTCCAATGTTCTTTGGAAATCTTGTATAAACTACCAAACATAATCGGCAGAATTTTATCAATGTTCTCCTCAATCAGACCAAGAATGTATTCATTATTCCAGAAGTACAAAGCCCTTTCTGCAACCTGAAACATACATTTCAGAATTCAGTTCAATTAAGTTGGGTAATACAAATCCCAAATAAAAGCTGAATGTGCCGTATTATACCTGAAAATGTGAACTTGACACACACTTGGATATCTGTTTAAAGAGAGGTTCCTGTATTTTTTTAAATTGTGTTGGTTCTATTACATCCAGGATTTCTTCAATTTCACCTAAAAACATTACCTGTTAAAGAAAAAAAAGTAAGTAGACTAGAGATCCTTCTTTACCAATCATCATATAAATAGCTATAAAGCATAAGTGGTAGACAAAAAAATTCCAGTGTTTTTTTAAAAAAGTAATCTACATCGATACATTGTTATTTCATTTGGTTTGTTAAATTTGAAAGAATAATCGTCAGATGCAGACCTCTTCGTGTGGGGCGCTATGCTGGATCCTTTTAAAAAACTGTAGCCGCATATGCTTAGGCTCCAGTTCATACAAAATATGTATTTACAGTCAAGGAAGGCTCCCACCACTGGTTGGATCTAAAGGACCACAAGTTTCTTTTTACCTCCCCTTTCCTATTAACGGCTCTTTGTACTACCTTATGCATGGCACTGGGTGAGAGGGAAGGGCTCAGCACCATCGTTTCCCACCCTTGATGGGTTCCTATGTGCTTGAATTTCTTCTTTTTTACCCCCACTTTTCTCTACCCTCAGGAGTCTCAAAGTGGCTTACAACCACCTTCCCTTCCTCTCCCCACAACAGGCTTCACGTGGAGGAGTGGGGAATCAAACCTGGTTCTCCAGATTAGAGTCTGCCGCTCTTAACTACTATACCACGCTGGCTCTCGGCTCAAAAGTAATTTCTTTCAAATATGCAACTGCAATCCTACTTATACTGGGGAATAAGCTATTTCAGCTTTCTCAGTCTGTGCTACTGTTCTATAAGAAGAAATGTAGAAATGAATGAAACTGACCTCTTTCTGGCTGCATGTTTTTGGCCAAAATTTGAGCAATCCTCTGATAACCTACATTGTAAAAATAAAATGTAAAAAACAGAGTAGAGTCAGAACATATCTACTAAGATAGCTGCATACTGAACTGAAGCAGGGGTGGACCTGAGATGTTAAAACAGTCCTGGAGCAAGCAAAGCCAAATAGCCTCTTATGGGGGCCACACATGGTTCAACTTGCTCCTGGCTGCTGCCAGCAGCTCTTCCTGACAAGAGACCTACCACAAGCTTCCCTGCTAAGAAGAAGGGCCGGTCAGCCCACCATCTGAGCAAGTTGTGCAGATAGACAAGATTTGAATTATTATAATCGTGCTATTTGACTTTACATTGTATTCAAAACAATGCTTTTGTTTCAACGATATCTCAACATATTTTACATACAAATTTCAAATGACAATTTATAAGCTGGTTATGAGCTGCGGTGGCTCAAATGGTTAAGACGCTGAACTGCAGGCTGTGGAAGGTTGGTAGTTCAGCAGTTCGAGACCCGGGTGCCACATGACGGAGTGAGCTCCCGTCTCTAGTTCCAGCTCCTGCCAACCTAGCAGTTTGAAAGCAAGAAATTGCAACTAGATAAATAGGTACCACTTCGGTGGGAAGGTAACAGCGTTCCATGCGCCTTGGTGTTTAGTCATGCCGGCCACATGACCACGGAAACGTCTTCGGACAGCGCTGGCTCTTCGGCTTTGAAACGGAGATGAGCACAGCAACCCTAGAGTCGGATTCGACTGGCTTTCAAGCAAGGGAACCTTTTTTTTTAACAAATCTGGAAATAAATTATACTTAAATGCTCCTCTTGGAATTCAACTTACTTACCTTAAATCAGTTTTCCTGTTTACTTGAAGATTCTCTAATTACATTTTTATCTCATCCTTCCGCCAAGGCGCTCAGGGCAATATACATGATTCCCCTTTTCCACCTCATAGCCACTTTGTAATGTAGGAGATTTGGTGACTAGCGCACAGTCATGGCACTAGTGAGGATTTGAACCTGCAACTTTAAAATCCTAGTCCAGCACTATACCTCAGTGGCCTACTAACCCATGGTCTTTTACATACGTTAGCACTGCCGCCTCTATTTCATGTTTGGAAACACTGCATTTAAAAATATTTGGTCAAGTATCTCTTCTAACTAATCAACACTGGGGTTTTTCTACAGCTTAATTTTTCAGAATGCTAGATCAGCGCCAGTTTGAGGTTTTGGTGGGCCCACAACACACTGCCCTTCCCTCCATCCCACGGCTCCAGCAGAAGAAAAGCAATTGCTGCTATTAAAAGCATCCCTGCTTGCTTGCCACCTCCTCCTTCTGGGCAGGAGAGGGACTTCTTGCAAGGACTCTGAAGAGGTGGCACAGGAATATCCTAAATAAACACATTGGAAGCTGCCACTGCGCCAAGAAAGATGAGTGAACAAGCAGGTAAATGAGCGGCAGTGATAACCTGAGCAGTAGTGGTACCCGGGGGCAGCTCAGCTGCTTGCCCCCTTGTCTGCCTAAGGGTGACAAGCAGCTGCTGTCCATCCCTCAAGGGGAACCCACTCTCATTGCTGCTACTCAGCAAGAGGAGCAGGCTGAGGTGAATAAACAGAAGCAGTAGCTCCAGGCTCATACAGATGCTCACCCAGGCAGGCAATGACTAATAGCAATCACTCCCTTACCTTGCTCTGGAAGGGCCAAGCTTCAGCATGGTGCATGTGCCAAAAGATAATGCCCAGGGAGGGAGGAGCGCCCAACCTAGTCACTGGGCAGAGAGAGGGCAGGTGGTGATACTGCCGTTGGCAGTGGCCCTTCTAGTGCCCCGGCGACTGTGCCAGAATGTCAGCTTCCAACACTGGGCCTCCTGTAGACAAATGTCTGGCAAGTGAGGACCTTTAAAAATCTCAGGCCACCAAACAGTCATCAATATGAAACTGAATTGTCACTCTCACTGGCTGGCAAAGAGATGCAGGAATAACGTCTCACCACTATCAGTCAGCAGACAGTCATATCTAATGGTATCTTTCAATTCTTGTGATCCAAAGAGGAGGACAAGTTACATAGAGGGGAAGACTACCACTTCTATAGCTGGCCTTGCCCATCTTGGCTGCACACATCTAGATGGCAGGGACTTGTACAGTTTGGTCCAAGGAGTGAGTAATACTTTCTTAAGGAAAGAGTCCGTTCTCACTGTCTTGAAGGAAGCAGCAATGAGACCTCCGCAGGCCTTCCTTGGAGGAGACAGGTTATATAGACATCAGCCTTGTTTCAGGTCTGGCTTTGGAACCAGGCCCTGATAGACAACTGTTGCTTGGGGGATTTGGGAAGAGGGAAGAAGCCGTATAACTGAGAAGTTCACTATGGTCAATGGGATCAAGTCACAGATGTCTCACCCAGTTGGAATATTTGGAAATGAGGGGCATGTTCTGTGATGGCTGGGTGCCCATCTGGCTGACTGGTATCAGGAGACAGCGCTGGGGACAACTGCTTGGATCCCTGGCACTTATAGCAGGAGAAACGGCAGAACTCCATCTTGCACTCAATGCTATGCAACATCTATATAAAACCACTGGAAGAAACCATCCAGAGTTTTGGCATGAAATGTCATCAATATACGGACAACACTATCCATACCACTCTTCAGAAAAGCTGCCCGAGACTGCTCGTAACAAATGTCAGCATTAAAAGAGTAATAAATTTAAAAAAAAACAGCTCAAAGCTAACATGAAAGACAACAGTAAAATAACAACGAAACCAAAGCATAAGGGAGTTCAGCATAAAATCTGCAAGAACAAAGCGTGTTAAATACACTGACTACACAATGAGCCAAATACAACAAAATGGATAGGTCACTAAGATGGTAAGATGGTCACGGGAGGAACTCAAGTAAAAGCCTGGGTAAACAAATTACCTTAATCTGGTGCCTAAAAGAGTTAAGCGCTAGGCAAGCTTCAAGGGGAAGAGCATTCCACTTGCAGAGCATCACCCTGAAAACAACTCATTTCTACTCACTATCCATCTCACTTCTATAGGCGGCAAAGACAAAGTGGGGCTTAAGATGAAGATCTTAGCTGGCAGGCCAAATGGTGCAGAATGGCAGGTAAGCTGTCCTATGAACCAGCATTATGGCTTGTGCAGATCGTTCAATACAGGGGCAATATAGTTAGCTGTATCCAACCACTGACGAGCTTGATTGCCAGCGTTTTGTACTACCTGAAGCTTCCAAAAAGCCTCCAAAGGCAGCCCACATAGAACTTGTTACAGCAATTTAACCTGGATGTGATCACAGCATGAATTATGGCCACGTTTTGCTTCACAAGGACAGTCACAGCTTGGAGGACCAGTTGAGGCTTGTAAATAAATAAATGGAGCTACACAATACATAAGTCTGAGTTTTCCACAGGAATGAGTAGCACTCCAAGCTATGAACCTGCTCTTTTGGGGAAAGTGCTATTCTTCCAATACAAGTAGGCCCTGTATTCCCACAGTAGCTGTACAACCCTGACCAACAGCACCTTACTTTTGTCTAGAGATGTGAAGGCCTGGAAAAAAACCGGAAAAATTCAGGGGAAAAAACGTTTTTTCCCCATTTTTTTCCTGAAGCGTTTTTGTTTTTTTCCGAAAAATTGGAAAAATTGAAAAAAGAAAAGAAATGATTATGGAATGTTTCATTTTAACATGATGAATAAAATATTTTAAGACAAGGTGTTCAAATATTTTCCAAATCATTTCACATATATATATATATTATGGCTTGTGCAGATCGTTCAATACAGGGGCAATATAGTTAGCTGTATCCAACCACTGACGAGCTTGATTGCCAGCGTTTTGTACTACCTGAAGCTTCCAAAAAGCCTCCAAAGGCAGCCCACATAGAACTTGTTACAGCAATTTAACCTGGATGTGATCATAGCATGAATTATGGCCAAGTTTTGCTTCACAAGGACAGCTTGGAGGACCAGTTGAGGCTTGTAAATAAATAAATAAATGGAGCTACACAATACATAAGTCTGAGTTTTCCACAGGAATGAGTAGCACTCCAAGCTGTGAACCTGCTCTTTGGGGGAAAGTGCCATTCTTCCAATACAAGTAGGCCCTGCATTCCCACGGTAGCTTTACAACCCTGACCAACAGCACCTTTTGACACTTGTTAGAACTTAGACAAAAACACCTGATTCAGCTGTTAAGGAAAAGCTGGATGTCGTCAGCATAGTGATGGCACCTGACCCAACTCCCAAACAATCACTGCTAAAACAGAATGGAGGATAGAACAGAACCCTACAGAACTCCATGGTGTAAATTCTGGGGTGGGGTGTTGAGACCAGTAGCAGTCTGCCCAGCACCACCTTCCACAAATGAGTGGCCAAGTAGGAATAAACCTCAGCCATATTTCTCCTTTCAGCCACCTAGAGGTGATAAAAGGCTTGATGAAGGCTGGGACATCAAAGCTCAAGCCAGACACGACTGAGAGGTTGTTGGCTGATAATACTGCCAGCCTGGGATGAATGAGCTGGCTTGTGCTGGCCAGGTTTACATTCTTCCTCAAAAAGCAGATGTGCATCTTGGGCTTGAGCCCCTCTCAGGCTACTCTCTCCCTGCACCTATCCAGCAAGCAGATGAGTGAGACACAACTCCACCCAGATGCTACAGGGAATTCGTTTTGTCCAAGGGACGTACACAGGAAGGCAACCAAGATGATTGGGGGTTGGAGCACCTTCCCTGTGAGGAAAGGCTGAAGAGTGTGGGACTTTTCAGTCTAGAAAAGAGATGACTAAGGGGGGGACATGATAAGAGGTTTCTAAAACTATGCACGGGGTGGAGAGTGTGGACACAGATAAAATTTTTCTCCCTCTCCCAAAATACTAGAACTCAAGGGCATCCAATGAAGCTGATGGGCTGCAGGTTCAGGATGGACAAAAGGAAATACTCCTTTACACAGAGAGTGATTAAAATGTGGAATTCACTGCCAGAGGATGTAGTGATGGCCCCACAGGAATAAACAGCTTTAAAAGGGGATTAGATAGATTCATGGAGGATAAGTCTTATCAATGGCTACTAGCCATAGTGACCTAGGAACCTGCACATTCAAAGGAACTAATCCTCTAACTCCCATAGCCAGGAGTGACCTAGGAACCTGCACATTCAAAAGAACTAATCCTCTAACTCCCATAGCCAGGAGGCAACATCAGCGGGAGACCTCAGTCTCTATGCCCTGTTATTGGCCACTGTGTGAGAAAAGATGCTGGACAAGTTATCGGTCTGATCCAGCAGGGCTCTTCTTATGTTCTTATGTTAAATCCAGCCTTCTCTCTGGGAATCCCTCACTGCCCCCGAATGCTCTTAAAACTTTTAGGTAGCTGCCACCACCTCCTGAATCACATCACCTCACCAATTTGATGCCAGGAGGAACATCAAACAGGGCTATTTGGTAAAGTGGGCATGGCAAGGCTCATCGGTAGGAATCAATTTTTAAATTCCTTGAACAACATAAAATTTTATTCCACTATCCATATCTCTTGAAAGTATACATGCTACAGAATTAAGGTGCATGTTCTAAGAAATAAAATAAAACAGAATGATTTCTAAGGTATAGATAGGGACTCTGGAACAAGTGATGCTCTGTCTTCTTGGTGCTTGGGGGGGTCAACAGTGGGAGGGCTTCTAATGTCCTGGCCCCACTGGTGGACCTCCTGATGGCACCTGGTATTTTTGGCCACTGTGTGACAGAGTGTTGGACTGGATGGGCCTTTGGCCTGATTCGACATTGGCGTCTCTTATGTTCTTATGTTCTAACCTAACTTGAAATCTACAACTACCTGGCATTTGTTCCCCTCTCACTGTGAGCTGGAATAAATGGGTATATGTATGGAGGAAACTCTGGCTGTCACACACACAAAACACACATACACAGAAAACATCTTAATACAACCTTGTGGTTTAGTCATTAATGTGCTGCTTCGGAAGAGTCAAAGAAATTCCCGTACAATGCATGGGTTCTGTAATGGAAGATCTTGTCTCACAAACCTGTTAGTGTTCTTTGAGGGAGTGAACAAACATGTGGACAACGGGAACCCAATAGATGTTGTTTACCTTGACTTCCAGAAAGCTTTTGATAAAGTTCCTCATCAAAGGCTCCTAAGTAAGCTGAATAGTCACGGGATAAAAGGACAAGTTCTCTTGTGGATCAAAAACTGGCTAATTAATAGGAAACCGAGAGTGAATATAAATGGAAAATTTTCTCAGTGGAGGGGGGTAAGCAGTGGGGTACCACAGAGATCAGTACTCGGTCCAATGCTTTTTAACTTGTTTATTAATTATTTGGAGTTGGGAATAAGCAGTGAACTGGTTAAATTTGTGGATGACATGAAGTTGTTCAGGGTGGTGAGAACCAGGGAGGATTATGAGGCATTCCAAAGGGATCTGTCAAGGATGGGCAAGTGGGCGTCAGCATGGCAAATGGGGTTCAGTATGGCCAAGTGTAAAGTGATGCACATTGGAGCCAAAAATCCTAAATATAAATACACATTGATGGGGTCCGAACTGGCAGAGACTGACCAAGAGAGAGATCTTGGGAGTCATAGTAGATAACTCACTGAAAATGTCTAGACAGTGTGCACAGTGCAACTGCAATCAAAAAGGCCAACGCTATGCTGGGGATTATTAGGAAGGGAATTGAAAACAAATCAGCCAGTACCATAATGCCCCTGTATAAATCAATGGTGCGACCTCATTTGGAGTACTGTACACACCGAATAAACCGAATGTATAAACCGAATGTAACAATACAGTTCTGGTCACCACACCACAATAAGGATATTATAGCTTTGGGGAAAGTACAGAAAAGGGCAACTAGAATGATAAACGGGTTGGAACACTTTCTCTATGAAGATAGGTTAAAGCACTTGGGGCTCTTTAGTTTGGAAAAACGACGACTGAGGGGTGACATGATCGAGGTTTATAAGATTATGCATGGGATAGAGCAGGTAGAGAAAGAAGTACTTTTCTCCCTTTCTCACAATACAAGAACTCATGGGCACTCAATGAAATTGCTGAGCAGTCGGGTTAGAAGAGATAAAAGGAAGTACTTCTTCACCCAAAGAGTGATTAACACATGGAATTCACTGCCACAGGAGGTGGTGGCGTTTACAAGCATGGATGGCTTCAAGAGGGAATTAGATAAGCACAAGAAGGGGGACCCGCGATACTCACGGGGGGGGAGGTCCATGTGGAGGAGGAGGAAGCAGCCACAGGTAAGCCTCCCCCCTGGCACCAACGGCAAGGCCCGTCTGGCTCCTGCCGGGCCCACCAAGCCTCCCCCCTTCCCCTGGCACCATCGGTGAGGCTTGTGTGGCTCCCGCCGGGCCTGCCAAGCCTTCTCCCCCTGGCACCAACGGCAAGGCCCGTTCAGCTCCCACCGGGCCCGCCAAGCCTTCTCCCCCACACCAATGGTGAGGCCCGCACACCTCCCAGCTGTCGGGCCTGCCTAGCTTTATCCCTCCCCCCCCCATGGTGGCGGCGAGGCCTGAGCGACTGGCCCACCAAGCCTCCTCCCGCCTCCAGTGGCAGGGGCAACAGTGAAGGCTTCTCAGAGCATTCCCTGTGCATGCACAAGGAATGCTCCTTTACTTTTGGGGGGATTTAAGTATCCCCCCTATAGTTTTTTTACAGTTTATAGATTTTCCAGCAGATCTGGAAATTGCCCCAAATGTGCAGGAAAATATCCCTGTCCCCCAGGTGCCCCCGATGTGTGGATTTAGATATCCGCACATGGAGGGCGCCTTGGCTATTAGATATATAGATACGGAGCAGAAGTCCATCAGTGCCTAATAGCCACAAGGTATAGATAGGAACTCTCAGGCTGGGGCAAGTGATGCACTGTATTCTTGGTGCTTGGGTGGGGCAACACTGGGAGAGCTTCTGGTGTCCTGGCCCCACTGCTGGACCTCCTGATGGCACCTGGAGTTATTGGCCACTGTGACAGAGTGTTGGACTGGATGGGCCTTTGGCCTGACCCACCATTGGCTTCTTATCTATATATCTAATAGCCAAGTTGCCCCCTCCATGCGGATACCTAAATCCGCACATCGGGGGCACTTGGGGGGCAGGGAGATCTTCCTGCACACTTGGAACAGTCCCCAGGTGTGCAGAAAAATCTAAAAAGTTTAAAAAAACTGTACAGGGGATATTTAAATCCCCCCAAAAGTAAGCGTGTTACCTGCGCATGCGCAGAGAACGCTCTGGGAACTCTGCAGCGGGGAGAAATTGGCAGCAGAGCTGGGGGGTGGGGAGATCGGCAAGCCCTGCGGCTGGAACGTCAACAATTCTGGCTTTAAAATACTGCAAGTTAGCTGGGTAGGTGTCACGGCTGGGCTGCCTTGAACCTGGACTGCCTGCATTCCCACTGGAGAGCTCAATCAGGGAGTATACAGGCTCATTTGAAGTATTATTCTTCTGTGCTCAAATTAGGGGAACATGACTTAGTCTCTACTTAAGCAGTCTAGAATTTAAGCAAGATGACTTGTAAATTAACCAGGCTGGAATGGAGACTGACCCAGCAACCCTATCACACTGCTCCAAAGCAAAGTATGACACAGGATGGTGTACCATTCATTTGCATTATCCAGAATTAAGAAAAACCCTTCTAAAGAGTTATGAGTACAGCATTCTGTGGGTCAAGAAACAAACTTGGCTTTTCAGCTCTACTAACATCAAACTTGACCTGGGGCTGCTTGACATAGCTACCATATAGCTAAGTCAATGAGGCTAACATTTCCTGGCAAAGGGCATTTACAATCCCCCCCCCCCCACACACAATGCACACTGAATTATACTGGTAGCCAGTGGGTCAAATGCTGGCAGCCATAAACAGACTGGGAGAAGTCTGATATTTACATCAAAAAGACTAGGTAGATGAAGTGAGCTCAGTCTTCCTGTGCCTTGATTTCCATGCTTTGGGATCTTTCCTCCGAGCGTGGCTCACTTCTAGCAGAGGAGCCAGCTGGGACAAAACAATCCAGGACAAAAAAAATCAAGTTGTAAGGTGAGAGAGGATATGAACACCTGTTGTGCAAAGATCAGCCCCACACCCACCCTGCTGCACTTATAAAGGGCAAACATGAACAGAAAATATGACTGAAGCCATCATATCTACTTTGACCCATAAATATTGGTGAGAGGACAGGAAGCATAGATGTTTCAATGCTTGTGTTTCCATACTTCTCACACATACAAAATAAAAACTCTTCTGCGTAAAAAAACAACAACAACCACACCCATATCTGCCTTAAGAAATGTGAATGCTTAGATTGCACATGTCTGGGGAAGGAGGGAAGGAAAATTTTGACTTTGGATATGGTGGAAAACCATGGAGACTGAAGCATGCAGCTTTTATTACATATATGGGTTTAAAGCAAAAAAGCTTTTGATCCTAAAGTACTAGATTTTAAAAAGTTTGATTATATGCATGAGCAATTACATTTGTCTTCCAATTTAGTCTTGTGTAACTTAAAAGCAGTGTACACATACTACACATACACAAGTGTTATTCAAGTATGTAGTCATAGCTGTTAACAACACTAAAAATGAACGAACAACACTCACCGGCTCTGTTAATGCCATATCTTTCTCCAGGAACTGAACAACACAATAGGCCAACTAAAAAGCAAGACCAAAGAAGATTAAAAGCAAGTTTCTGTTAATGACAACAATAGTAGTTTCAGTTTAGTTTGTAGTGGCATTTGGTTAAGCCTCACCAATTTCAAATATTGCAGCATGTGCAAATATTAAGCCTGTTTAAACCGGGCTACAGGGGAAGCCAGCCCCGGAAGCTGCTGTGCTGCAGGGAGTGATCTGTTAGCTGTGGCACAGCAGAATCCTGGGGCCAGATTCTCCTGCAGCGCTGTTTAAACCATGCTGCAGGAGAAGCCATCCCAGCCAAGTCTGTGTGCCGTGGGGAGAGTCCTCCCTGTGGCACGCAGATCCTGGAGCCAGCTTCTCCTGCAACACAGTTTAAACTGTCCCTGCAGGAGAAGCCAAGCCAGCCCCAGGATCGGGCTGCCATATTTTTTAACCAGTATTTTTCTTTTCAGGTCTATTGGACCTGAAAAAATTCTGGATTTCCGAAAAATTCCAGATCTGAATACCATACTGGTATTGGGATCCAGGATTTTTTGGAAATACCAAATTTTGGGGGGGTCCAATAGACCCAATTCAAAAAATGCCGATAAAAAGAAAGTGTACACCCCTATTCTTGTTCTATTGGTGAAGAACTTGTTAAAAAATACAGCAAATCTACTGTTGAGCTGTCATTCGTAACCACATACCTAGACACAGCTGGATCATTTCTTTGGTAAAACACAGGGTATCTATCGTATGAAGCATTTAAAATTCTTACAGCCTATAAACTATGCCAGTGGCAATGCATGCTCCACTTTTTATTCCCTCTACTCAAAATAAGATGTGTGTATTACACTAACTAATCAAACCTTAACCACAATAGCATTGAATATATTTTATTTATTACAAAAACAATTCTTTCTGACAGGTAGACATACCTGTGCATGAAATAAAGCTAATCCTTTTGCAGTGTGCATAGGAATCAGAACCTTCATAAGGAACTGCTTGTGCTCTGCTTTCAAGGGCAGTGCAAACCCATTGATAATACTGGAAAAGAAGGTAGACAGGACAGTTTTAGGGACAGTAGATTAAAGAACAAAATGTACTGTTAATATTAAAAAAGCAGCACAACCCACACTTACACACCTAACACCCTGTCAGAAGTCTCTCTGGCAACACTAGTTCCAGATTTACTTCATAAATATGAAGCAGCTATAAGACCAGCACAGGGCAAATCTCTCCATCCCCCCCCCAGGCTATAAGCTTCTTAATTCTGCAGCTGAAGATGGCAGCAATGAGCAGCATTTCCCAGTAACTGCCAACCAGTTTTGTTCCCTCATCTCAGCATTCAGATACAGATCTTTATATTGTTCATGCAAGAACTGCTTTTGATGTTACAAAGCAAGACCAAACGAGATTCAAAGCAGTCAATTTTGTACCAATTCATGGCCCTTTCCAACAATTTATTCTGTAATATATTAAAAAAGCATATAAACTGCATGTAGGTTGTGACAAGACAAGGACATGAATCTATTCTTGGCATTATTCATCTAGCATGGATATGGAGTCAGACATGCATGTGATCAGATTAAATTTATGCTTTTTCCCCTTTCACAGAAGCGCTGCCCTTACAGTCTATTCATAAAAACTGAAGGAAGCTTTCCAGTACTCATTTCAGGCTTTGAAGATGAGCTTAAGTCACCCTCCTTTTTCCAGGCTAGACAGTATTTTGCTTGTTAATCATAAGCAGACAATACTATTCTTTAACCCCCACTGACAATAACGCTCTTTAAATTACATTCTTGAATTGCACCAGTATTTGAACAGGAAGAAATTACTGTAATATATCATCCCAGAAAAGTCACATGACAGGAATACAAAATTTCTGGCTAATGCTTTGAAAAAGATACAATCTATATACTATTAGGCCCCCAATACGAGGATAGCTAAATCCACAGATTGGGGCCACATGGAGGCTAAAGACATTTTTCTGCAAACTTGCCCATTGGGATGAAAAGTGGGATATAAAAAAAAAAAAAAAAAAAAAAAAACACGGGGGGGGGGGGGGGGGGGATCCCCTGAAAAGTAAAACACCTCTGGCAGCCAATGGCGGCTGCACAGTAGGGTGCAGTGGAAGCAGCAGCCACGCAGCCTGGGCGCCGTGCTGGGCCCAGTGGCAGCCATGCAACCCAGGAGCCACACTGGGCATGCTGCCATAGTCAGCACAGTCCAAGAGCTGTGCTGGGCCACAGTCCTGGGAGAGGCCAGGGGCTGCACCAGGCCCAACAGCAGCACCCCAGGACTCCATGCTGGGCCTGGCAGCGGCACAGCCTATAAGCTGCACTGGGCCCAGTGATGGCGCAGCCCGGGGAGAGCCTGGGGGCCGCACCAGGCCTGGTGGCAGCTGCTAAACAGCTCAGGTCTCCATACTGGACCCTGTGGCAGCTGCTGGAGAGCCTGGGAGCCACACTGGGCTTGGTCGGGGGGGGGATGGGATTCTCCCCCATGAGTCTTGTGAGCCCCGCTTACAGACTATATGTATTCAGCTGAGTGTTCCAAAAGTTCCTGATACGTGAGTAATATCATTAAGTGAGAAAAACAATTTGCGGCGTGCTGATGCAATGCTCCTGAAGCTGCTTTGAGACACATGAACACATGAAGCTACCTTATAAGGAATCAGGCCCTTGGTCCATCAAAATCAGTATTATCTATTCAGACCAACAGTGGCTGTCCAGGGTCTCAGGGTGAGGTCTTTCATATCACTTCCTACCTGGAGATGCTGGGGACTGAACCTGAGGATTAGTGTATCAGCTAAAAGCAATCTTAGGTATCAAAGCTAATTTTCACCTTGAGAGACCAAACTGAAACACAAGGCCCCTTTCAGAGGCAGTTATGACAGTTTGATGAGTTTTCAACAAAGAACAGCCCCAAACTCACATAAAGAGGGCTTTGGGGGTTTAATTTTAGCAGGAAACAGTTACTGAATCCTACCCATGTTTGCAGTTACCTCCCTGCAGCCCTTCACCTCAATCACTTCTGGAATCAGAGTTCAGCCAAGGAGTCAAGTGTTCAGAAAAAGAAGCTACAGGAAGGTAAGCAGCAAGTGGAGGGAGGGTCCCTTAGCCAGGTGCCCCTTTTGCTGTTTGAACAGGTGGAGCTGATGCTGTTGCATCCAATTTGGTTGTAACTCAGTAAGTAAAACCAGAAATGACAAACAGCAAGTCTTTTGCATATTAGGTCCAAAGTTTCTGCCAATGTGTCCTACAAATGAGAAAGGCAACCCCATTATCTGAATGGCTATTTAGTAAAAGAATAAGCATACCTTCCTAGTATCTCAAGGAGTTCAGCAACACCATTGAAATGTTCTGTTTCATATATAAACCTGTCAAAGGTACAATTCAACATATGAGACAAAGGAAGCCGAAATCTAAAGAGAGGCACGGAAATTTTATGTAGTAAGCCATAAATTATTCGATCATGTTTTTAAAAAAGTTTTGATAAGAAAGTATTGATATATTTCAATCCCCTCCCCCCACCCAATCTGCTTTTTCCGGGAACGTGACATATTTTCTTCTATGCCTCTAAAATTTCTGGACATTTCACATCTCTACTCCTTGGAGAGGTAGAATGTCTCTTAACATTCTCTGTGTACACAAATACATAGCCCCGGTACCCTAGTTTCCCTCCAGCAGAAACAAGTAAGAGTTAAAGGGTACACTCTGGAGCACCTTTAAACGAGTCCCTGCGCATGGTGATCCATCTCAGCTGAGGAACAGGTTTTCACCTCCCCTAACTGTGTCCTGCATTCAACTTGTTTACTTCATCACATAGAACACATAAGAACCTCATAACTAAGCCAGTTCCTATGTACACAACCATACCCTGAATTCAATTTCTTGGTCATGCTACAGTGCGACAGAAGTCAAGGGACTAGCTCTTTTTAAAAACATATTCATCACACTTGCAAATTGCCATTCAATTGGTCATTTGGGAAGGGTATGAAGTTGATCAGGATGATCAAATCTCCATTTCACAGATTATCTTCAGGGCAAGTCTGACCCTTCATTAAAAAATCAATTCATTCCACATGATCAGCCCAGTGCTAAATGAGCGTTCAATGGTGAGGAGTGAATGACTAAGGTTTTCATGCTTTCACTTTCATGCTTCAAGCCTCCTGCTTTGTTTTACTAACAGCGTGGTTGGGGCAGCTGTCTTTTGTACAGTCTCACGTCTATGTCTGAGTCAGCTGGATTATCTGCAGTGTTTACCTTCACATGGGTGATCTGAGCCTGGAATCTATAAGGTTGGTGACATTCATTCTTCCTAAGAGCAAAGAGCTAAAGCTATTTAATTTTTTTCAAGAGAAAACAGCTGAAAGATTCTGCCGCTGAAATCCTATAATCACTTACTTGGAAGATAAGGGCCAAACTACAGCTACACAGGAATTTGGCAACTGGACCCCCCACCCAACATCTTTGTTTCTTATTAGAAGCAGAAGCATAGGGCTGCCAATTTGCTAGGGGAGGATTTTAACACTATCCCATTGTGGAAAACACACCAGGAAAAGGGCACTAGAGGGATTAAAATTCTTCCTGCAGTATGCCAAGCAAATGGCAACCCCCTGCAGCTGCTTTTAAGTTAAAAAGAAAAACAAAACAATGAACACCGGGAGATCCAATCCTGGATTCAAGTGGACATATACATGCAAGTATATGGAAATAGGACCCATGGAACTCAGTGAGACTTATTTCCATATGGAAGATGTGACATGTGCCAGTTTGGGCAAAAAAGATTCTGCTCCTCTTACTGTCTAAGAGGAGAGGTGAATTTCTTCTTCTAAATGGCGTTAAGGTTATAATAATAAATCCTGTAACAGCTATTTTTATTTGTGGGCTAGCAATAGTATACTTAGTTGCAAGGCTGGTACTTATCATCATTTATTACATTCTGGGACCAACGTATCTAAGGGAATGACTCCTCCAGTATGTCCCTGGGAGAGCCTTACACTCTTCAAATAACAACCTGCTGGCAATCCCTGCCCCTAGGGATGTCCGGCTGTCCTTGACCAGGGCTAGGGCCTTTTCAGTCCTGGCCCTGGCCTGGTGGAACTTTGCCAAATGATATCAGGGCCCTGCGGGATCTTATGTAATTCCGCAGGGCCTGTAAGGCAGAGATGTTCCACCAGGCTTTTGGTTGAGGGCAGCAACAGTTTCCTCATTGGCTGGCACTCTTCCCCCCCCCCTTCTGAATTCCCTTTCCCTCTGCCCAGAAAATTGGCCGGTAGTCCAATTGGGTTAAAAACATTATGGGACACCATCTTGGACTGTTTATTCTGAATTTAATTTTTTATTAAGTTGTACATTGAATTCTAATGTTTTGTAAATTTTGTGGCCTTATCCCCCTTTATACATCGCCCAGAGCTCAGTGTAAGCTGGGATAGGTTGATTAATAAATCTATATCATTATTATTATTATTTCCCCCTGGGAAGGCAGCATGGTATAGCCTGATCTTGTCAGATCTCGGAAGCTAATCAGGGTCAGTGCTGGGAAGGGAGACCACCAAGGAAGACTGTGCAGAGGAAAGCAATGCCAAACCAGCTCTTTTTCTTATTTGCCTTGAAAGCCCCTTTGCTGGGGTCGCCATGAGTTGGCTGTGACTTGGCACTTTACACACACATTATATTTCCTCCTGACCTTTCTTCCATTATGGCATTCAAGGGCCTATACAGGTTTCCTAAGAGGCCTGTTATCCGGGCACAAATCCGATCCACTTAAAGTTCAGCAAGGCCATTTTAGAATGTGCCCTCAGAACACATCTTGGTTCTAAATGCTTCTATAAAGAACTATATATATTATACCTGAGAAAAATATTGTTGATTTGTTTTCTGATGAATGCTCTTAATCCAAGGAATTTGCCATAAATTCGATGAAGAACAGTTTTTAAGAAGTCGCGCTCTCGTGGATCTTCACTATCAAAAAGCTCCAACAGCTATTAATAAAGTATTACTTATTATTTCAGTTCCTGATATAGCTCACACTTAGTGGAATAAAAACAAGTTCTGCCATGACTCCCCCCCCCCAATATTTTGCCACAAATAAATTACTTCACACACATGCAGACTGGGAACCTCTAAAAACCAACTTAAAAACATTAGATAAAAGAAACTGCTTCATGATGCATTCCCATTTGTAACACTATAACCTGCAATAAGTACATCAACAGGCATGACCCATAAGAAATTAGACTCCATGATAAATCCCATTATAATTAGATCTTACTCATAGTTAAACCACATTATTTCCGTGCAATTCAGGTATTACTAATTTACTCTGAAATGAGCCTAATGTTTCTAAACAAGCTAGAATACTCAAGGGGCAACTTAAGAAATCTGGACAATTCCCCCCACCCCAATACAGCACCATGATTCATGAATATTACCCTTAGCAAAAGCACAGAAACATGCTAAGAATATTTACCTGCTGTACAAATTTCTGGTCAATATGACGCTTTGCAATGCTAGGCTGGAAATCAGGACTCTCTAAAAATCTCAGGAAAAATTCATATACCAGCTATGAAAGAACAAAACAAGAATTTAGAAAATATACATTCACAGGCAATGAATCCATAAATTTCCAAGAGACAAAAAGTTGAACATAAGTCAGCTAGAAGAGAGACAGCAGGAGTATGTTTCAAATAAATTCGATACAGCAGTTATTAGCCTACCAAACCTCGCACTGCTCAGGCTGTTAAGAAATCACCTCTTTCCCTATGTCCTCCTGTGATGAAGTCAGATAACAAAGACTTATCTTAGGCTTGGTAGATGAAACGTTTTCTGTCTGATTATAATAGCATTACATCTATACTGAACTGAACAATAACTAGTTATCTTAAAACTGGTATTTGAAAACATGGCTAGAAGTGGAAGTCAAACTCGTGTTTAAAAGCTAAGTGTTGTTAGCACTAAGACCCTAGAAAATCCTAGCTAAAACACAAAAGAGTCAAACAAGAGAGGAATGTACCTGGGGCAGCAGCAAACACCCCCCAAAAAAACCCCACACCCACCAACAAAGCAAGGATGAAAACCAGAAGAGACATTTAGATTTGGCAACAAGATAATTGGTAATTTTATAGTAAGGCAGAGTGAAAGGCAGAGGGCAAAAGCCAGGAAGACAAGAGAAGTGTTAGAAACATCAAAACAGCAAGTTCCAAGAGCTTGGGAGTAAAAGACAGAATGGAAATCATATCGTAGTTAAGAGTGACAGAGAGAACACAAAAGCATAAACCAACACATGTAAGATACTTAAGAAAGGAATATACTGCACTTCCAGAATTGCCAGGATAGCACACTACCCACAAAAATGTTCACTCACTGTAGCATAATTTCCCCCCAAAAAAATTAAGTTTATTTAAAATATTTTATAACACATTGTTGGGGATGGAGAAGATAAAGTTACACAAAACATTCTACAATAACATCTAACGGTTCTTGTCTTATACAATTATTTATACTTACAGAACAAATTACAACTTTTCGTAAAGTCAGATTTATGCAACTAGAAAGAATAGAATTGTTCATAGAAAAATAACTATATGTTTAGGAACCATATATCAAAAGTTGATTTTTTGCTTTTGAGATTGTTTCCCAGTTGAATTTGTCAATTGTAATCTTGTCTAATACTGGATTCCACTTATCCAGAGGATCATAAAAGTCACATTCATTTTTATGTTCAGTATTGTAAATAGAATATTTTTCTAAAAGAAAAAAATCCCAAACTTTATGGATCCATTGTGCAATGGTAGGTGTTTGTTTGTCTTTCCATTTCTGTGCGATAACCATTTTGGCTGCAGTAAGTAAAACATATGATACATTTTTTTCCCTCGAAGTGTGGGTGTCAAATGGCCATAAGTTTAACAGAATTATTCCTGGCTCTAGCGGTATATTAAATCCTGTAAGACTTTTAATATTTTCTAAAATTAGTTTCCAAAATTGCTGTATTTGGGGGCATTTCCACCATATATGGAAATAGTCCGCTTTTTGTCCACACTTTTTCCAACATAGTGGGGAAGTGTGTTTATATATATGGGTAAGTCTTGCCGGGGTTAAGTACCAGCGCATTAAAGTTTTGGCTGATGCTTCTTGTATATATGTTGACTTAGAGATTTTCGTTTGTATTTTCCATATTTCTTTCCATTGGTCTTGCGTGAGATTTTGCTGAAGATCCTTGGGCCAAGCAAGTTGATATTTATGCAACTTAGGAGAGTTGGTGTTAAGTAAGTATTGGTAAATTTTTGCGATTATTCCTTTTTTATATATACGGTTTAAGTAAAAGGTTTTCAAAATCTGTGGTAGGTTTTGTAATATTATGATGAAATTTAGTATTCATAATCAAGTGTTGTACTTGCAGATATTCGAACCATTTAAATGTTGTTTTGTGCTTTTTTTCTAGATCTAGTTTGGAAGGGATTTCATTGTTCTGGAGGACGTCAATGATTCTTGTTATATTGGACTTTTTCCAATTGAGGTAAGTATTGTTGTTTTTTGCTGGTAAAAACCATTTTTGGCCCGTAAATGTGCATAATTTAGAGTATATTGCCGAAAGATTATTTTTATATTGATACCAAATCTTAATTAGGGTTTTTAGATAGGGATTAGCTATTTCTCTTAATGTTTCCTTACTACTGTGTTTCCAGAGTAATACAAGTATTATGTGGGGCTGGTTGTTCTATATCTTTCCAATCCGGGGTGTTGTCATTATGATATAGGCGTATTAGTGATGCTAGATTTGTGGCCACGTAATAATATTGCAAGTCTGGTATTGCCAGGCCTCCGTTTTTCCCAGTTTGAGTAGTGTTTAATTCGTGAGATTTTAAATTTCCATAGGAATGTATTTATTTCCATTTGCCATTTCCTTAAGAGTTGTTTATCAATATACACTGGTAATGTTCGAAAGAGGTATAAATATTTAGGTAAAATATAAGACCTAAGAATACTAATTCTGTCAAACCATGAAAAAAAATTACTATTCCATTGTAAAATTTGGGATTGTATTTTTTTATGGAGTGTGTAAAAGTTGTCTTTAATAATACTGTTTATATTTAATGGAATTTTTATCCCTAAATATGGCAACGTGTTTTCTGTCCATTCATATTGGTAGGTGTTTTTTAAAGATTTTGTGACCTGGTCTGAAAGTAGTATAGGATATATTACGGATTTTGTTTGATTAATTTTTAAACCTGATATCTTCCCAAATTTTGTTAGTTCTTGTTGTATTGATTTTAGTTATTCTATTGGATTGGATACATATATTATCATGTCATCCGCAAAAATGCTTGTTTTATATTCTTTATCGTTAACCTTAATACCCGATATTAATGTATTGGATCTTAGCGTGCATGCAAGGGGTTCCATAGCCAAAATAAAAAGTAAGGGTGACAGAGGGCAGCCCTGGCGTGTTCCTCTATTTAGAATGAGGTTTTGTGATGTTGTTCCATTAATTAATAAGTTTGCCTTTGGTGCAGTGTATATTGCTTGAATGTATGTTCTTATGATTGGTCCAAACTGTAAATGTTGTAATAATTGATCTAAATATTTAATTTCCAGCGAATCAAATGCTTTCTCGATGTCTAATGAAAGCAATAGGGATTGTTTGGAGTAGTTGGACCTAGCTGTGTGTATAATGTTGAGTGTTTTGCGGACGTTATCAGTTATATCTCTAGAGGGTATAAAGCCTGTTTGGTCCTGATGTATATATTCTGCAATTATATTTTTAAGCCTAGTCGCTATGATAGTCGTAAATATTTTGTAATCACTATTGAGAAGTGATATAGGTCTATAAGCTTTGGGATCAGTGGTGTCTTTTCCCTTTTTTGGAAGCAGGATTACAGTAGCTGAGCTCCAAGTTGCAGGCATTTTGTTTGTTTTTAATATTTCATTACAAGCTTTTTGCAATGGTTTATTCAGTAACAATTGGAAGGCCTTATAATATTCGGCAGTAAAGCCATCAGGGCCTGGTGTCTTATTGTTCTTTAAAAGTTTGATTGCTTGATCTATTTCTTTTAAAGAAATTTTTGTTTCCAATTGATCAAAGTGTTCTTTACTAAGTTTGGGCATTTGGCAATTATGAGCTAAATAAGAAATAATATTTTCCTCCTGTGGATTAGTTGAGGTATATAGTTTGGTGTAGAAGTTTTCCATTATTTGGACTATATCTGGTAAAGAGGTTTTAATAGTTCCATCAGTATTTTTAAGAGCTGAGATATGTCTTTCCGTCTGTCTTTGTTTAATTTTCCACGATATATATTTTAGCCTTTTCGGTGTTTTTGACGTTGTGGCTTGCCTTACATTAAAATTGTGTTTTTGTATTAAAGTTGAGTCTAATATTTTGAGCTGTTTTCTAACATTAAGTAATCGTTGATAGATTTTTTCACTACAAGTTTTTTAATGTAATTCTTCCAATTTTTCAATAGATTGCCTAAGTTCTTGACGATGTTTCCTCTTTTCTTTTTTACAGAGGGCTGTTAAGGCAATGCATTTGCCTCTTACTACTGCCTTAAGTGTGTCCCAGAGGAGTTGTGCTGAATATTCTGCTTCCTTGTGATTTTGGAGAAAGGAAAGGATTTCATTATTTAGTTGATTTTTTAATTGCTTGTCAAATAATAAAATTTTATTAAATTTCCAATGAAAGTTGCTTCGTTCTCTTTTGTTTGCATTTAAGGTTAGTTCGACTGGAGAGTGGTCTGACCATTTAGATATACCTATTTTTGAAGAGGATGCTTGGTTTAATAGGTCTCTAGATATAAATAAATAGTCTAATCTTGTATAAGTGTTATGTTGAATTGAAAAGAAAGTAAAATCCCTATCCGTTTTATGATGTAGTCGCCATATGTCAAATAATTCGTTGTTTTTCATTATTCTTTCCATTTGGGTTATAGTGTTTGTAGATTCCTTGCTCGAGGATGTTTTGGCTTTTTGTTTACCTGTTTTTTTGTCTAATGTGTTATTCATAAGAGAATTAAAGTAGCCTCCTAATATAAGTGACCCCTTTTTAAATTTTTGAAGTTTGCCTATGGTATCCACCAAAAAGGTGTTTTGATGGACATTAGGGCATATAAGGTTGCAAGGGTCATACATTCATTATTTAAAAGTCCCTTAAGAAATAAATATCTTCCATTGCCGTCAGTTTCCATATCTGTAATTTGGAAGTTTACATTTTTGGCTATTAAAATTGCCACACCTCTGGATTTAGAGGTACCCTGGGCTAGCTTTTGTATAGGGAACCAAGCCGATGGTAATGCATAGTTTTTATTTTTTTATATATGTTTCTTGTAAGAAAACTATACTTACTTGTTGTTTATGGAGATCCCTAGCTATACGTTTAGCTTTAATAATGTTATTTATTCCTCTACAGTTAAGTGTTACCATTTTTAATTCAGTCATTGTTATTATGCAAGAAACTATTTGTCATATAATAAATATTTCCTTGGATAACATAGTTTTCACAAAAGTTAAACAATTTTATTAATAATTCAAAGCATTTTTCAAGACCATTGTCTTTAAAAAAAAATCGGTATCTCCTACTAAACTTGTAGTTATTAGGTTAGTACAACTCACATAGATAAAGCTTGCTAAAATATAAAACAAATATAAACCAAACCATTTTTGGTAATTTTTATAAATCCATGTGTTAATATTTGACACATGTGCTCTCGTTTTTTCCAAGAAACCAATATCGGTTGTACCAAACATTAAACATTTAAACTGTCTTCGAACCATGAAAACATCCCCCTCCCCCCTCCTCCCATTTTAATACCATCTAAGAAGAAAAAAATAACCTGTTTCAACACTCCCCTCCCTTTCCCTTTGCTGAACCTTCGGGTGAGAGTAGTACTCACACAGAGCCTTATGGGATGTGCTCTGCCGAAAGGTTTAACTGCTTCACAACAAAAAGTAAAATACAAATGAATAGTGTCATCATAGGGGTTTCCTAGCCACCTCCCATGCTGTCCCCCTCCCTCCTCTATAGTTATGTATATTTAACTATTAATAAAGCCTTCCACTATAATCGGGACAGAAAAGTTAGCTCCATTTAACAGAAGAAAAGACATGTTGCAAAATACTTATAAGATCACACGGCGTCGAGTTGGAATGCGGCTCCATTTATGAGGTGAGCCTTGTTCTTTCCGCTTGCGTTTCTTTTGTAAGTCCTCAGTGTCCATGTTTTCCGGTAGTTGCAACCCCAGATCTTCTAGCAAAGCCAAGCCGGATTCATAATCTTCTGCTTGGAACGTGGATCCTTTGATCCGGACTTGAAGGTATCCAGTAACAGTCCATTTATATTTTATATGAGCTTCCTGAAGGCGTTTCGTTATAGGTTTGAGGTCCCTTCTTAGTTGCAAGGCTTCCTGTGGTATATCTGGAAACACGGAGATCTCTTCTGTGTTATATTTAAAAGGACCCTTGTTTCTGGCTTCTTGCAAGATTAGTTGTTTTATTGGCAGGTCTAAGAACTCAGCAGCAATGTCTCTGGGCCCTTTTCTTTTGTCGTTGTTCTTTGGACCTAGTCTATACGCCCTGATAAGCATCGGTGCTACACCATCTTCAAAGTGAATGGTATTAGCAAGCCAGGTGGAGAGAAATGACGTCAGTTGTTCGTTCCCCTCAGCAAGTTCTGGGATTCCTCGAAATTTCAAAAATTGTTCCCTGGAGCGATGCTCAAGTATTAAAATACGCTCTCTCGACCAATCTTGATGTTTTTGTAGTTTTTGAATATCATTTTGGTTTGTAATGGCGGTCTCAAGGGCTGTATCTACAAGTTGAACAGCGTTTTGTATAGAGGCTTTTACCGTTTCCAATTGCTCTGCCATTGGTTTTAGTATTTCGTGGAGATTTTCAAGGATTTCTGTTTTGAATTGCGTTAGAGTTTCTTTTAAGTCTTCCTTCGTTATTGTTTGTGTTGCTGTGGTGTTTTTCGCATCTCCGGTCGCCATTTTGTTTCCGTTTGTTTTCGCTTGTCCGTTTTTTTCGTTCGTGTTTGGAGCGTTAAAGAGGTTCTTTAGTTTATTTATTTGTTGGTCTTCTGATTTCAGCCTTTTCTCGTCGCTCTTTCCCATATTTTTTTCGCGGTTTAGTTAAGTGGAGGCTTTGTTTTTAAGGAGGTCAGGGGATCGCTCTGGAGAGAAGCTAGAATGCGTCCGCCATTTGCAGCCGACGCTCCGCCCCTTGACACTGTAGCATAATTTGAAAAAACAAGAAATAATATACCTGTATATGGGGCCAGGAGGCTTCTAATGTTGGCTCATCTTCTTCTGGATCAAAATCTGGATTTTCACTTGGTGGAAGTGTTCTGAAGATATTAGAACAGATCTGGAAGAAAAGAGTTACCTCATTAAAAACAGAATTCAATTTAGTTTTACATAAAATAGACAAAGTAGGTCTTATAACTGCTTAGTTCTTTATTCCACAACTGAAGTGTATACTTCTGCACATGAACCTCCCTTCTACAATGTCAAACCGTTGGTCTACAGCGAGTAGAAAGGTGCAATTCTGCTTAGGACTGCACTGCTAGCTCAGTATGGTCTCCTGAGACAGGCATCAGCCCTTTTCAGTCTCTCAACTGGGGTGCCACAGACTGAGCTGAAATGCTATGCATACAAAGCATGCACTTAACCACTGTCCTATGAGCACTCAAAAAGATAGGCTAGAGTGGTCCCAAAATTATATTTTCCTGAAGGTCTTTAAAGTACCAAAAAAAGTTAAGTCTCTTAAAAACAAGACATGCTTCTGCAGTATCAGAGAAACTCAACATACAAATCTACCCTGTACAGGATCAGTTCACTGCTACACCTAGTTCAGTACTGTCAGATAAGCTTCAGTATTTGAGATCTCAGGCAGGGGTCTTTAACAGTGCTACTTGAGAATTATAATTTAAAGAATTCTGGCTCCACTTCAGTTTATGGGCCTTGTCAGAGTGAGAAAAAGGAAGACTAAACAAAAACAAAACTGTGAACTTTATTCAAGCTTTATTTGTGAATTCTTGGGTAGTGCAGCCATTTGCTAAAGAATATTCCAAGTTACAATTTATCTTTGTAACCATCAAAGCTGTGATACCATTCTTCTGGATAAAGCCCTCAAACTGTAGCAATTTTTTAAAAGACATGTTTGGCTGAGAGTCAACAGCCCACAAAAACAGGATGAGCTCAATAACTGCCATAAAAATGCTATTAAAGTATCCCTCAAACCCCAGTGCAAGATCTTTTCCAAAACATAAGTGCCACTCAGATTTTGTAGAAGCGATCTTGGAGACACTAAGATCCAAGCACACTAGTGAGAGGCAGAATCCTTTGTTATTACTGTATTCTGCCCTCATTTCCTTCCAGGAAGAGCTTAACTGAGAGGTTTCAGAGCTTAGAAATCCTTCCTCCCATGAGTGATTGCTTCATTGCTCAGGTGTATTGGAAAGGCAACCACCATATCTTACAGAAATCCTTATTTCTACTGTTCCATATCTTCCAGAGCTGTGCCTCATTGTAAGAGGCTCTAGAATTGTCCCAAAGTGAAGACACAGAGAAAAATTAGGTGAATGCACATGTGTAAAGATATAAGCCTTACAGAGAAGAAATACAGGTGAGCAGTGATCACAACAAAAAAGTAAGATACATGGTCAAATAGTACAAATCATATTCTGTTCCAAAGTGGGAAGGGATCCAGACTATCAGATTACTCTCTTGACTTAAGAACAGCATTCACATGTGTGATACACATACACCCTTCCTTATCTGTAAAACATTTAGTAAACAAGAATTCTCATATTGCCTGCTTCACATTTTCTTCTAACAATATGCTGACAGAAGAGGAAACTTCGCAGTTTCTTTACCAAGACCCTAAACAAAGTGGCTCAAGTAAGAGAGAGAGATCCAACGACTGATAGACAACTTAAAACTGATAAATCACCAGGCCCAAATGGCATACATCCAAGAGTTCTGAAAGAACTCAAATGTGAACTTGTGGATCTCCTGACAAAAATATGTAATCTTTCATTAAAATCTGCTTCCATTCCTGAGGACTGGAAGGTAGCTAATGTCACTCCTATCTTTAAAAAGGGTTCCAGAGGAGATCCGGGAAATTACAGGCCAGTCAGTCTGACATCGATACCAGGTAAGTTGGTGGAAACTGTTATTAAGGAAAGAAATAGTAGGCACATTGATGAACAAAAACTATTGAGGCAGACTCAGCATGGGTTCTGCAAGGGAAGATCTTGTCTCACTAACCTGTTAGTGTTTTTTGAGGGAGTGAACAAAGACGTGGACAAGGGGGACCCAATAGATGTTGTTTACCTTGACTTCCAGAAAGCTTTTGATAAAGTTCCTCATCAAAGGCTCCTAAGTAAGCTCAATGGTCATGGGATAAAAGGACAAGCTCTCTTGTGGATAAAAAACTAACTAATAGGAAACAGAGAGTGAGTATAAATGGAAAATTTTCTCAGAGGAGGGTGGTAAGCAGTGGGGTACCGCAGGGATCAGTACTCGGTCCGATGCTTTTTAACTTGTTTATTAATGATTTGGAGTTGGGAGTAAGCAGTGAAGTGGCTAAATTTGCAGATGACACAAAGCTCTTCAGGGTGGTGAGAACCAGGAGGATTGTGAGGCACTCCAAAGGGATCTGTCAAGGATGGGCAAGTGGGTGTCAACGTGGCAAATGGGGTTCAATGTGGCTAAGTGCAAAGTGATGCACATTGGAGCCAAAAATCCCAAATATAAATACACATTGATGGGGTCTGAACTGGCAGAGACTGACCAAGAGAGAGATCTTGGAGTTGTAGTAGATAACTCACTGAAAATGTCTAGACAGTGTGCAACTGCAATCAAAAAGGCCAACACTATGCTGGGGATTATTAGGAAGGGAATTGAAAACAAATCAGCCAGTATCATATTGCCCCTGTATAAATCAATGGTGTGACCTCATTTGGAGTACTGTGTACAGTTCTGGTCACCACACCACAAAAAGGATATTATAGCTTTGGGAAAAGTGCAGAAAAGGGCAACTAGAATGATAAACAGGTTGGAACACTTTCTCTACAAAGATAGGTTAAAGCACTTGGAGCTCTTTAGTTTGGAAAAACAATGGCTGAGGGGTGACATGATCGAGGTTTATAAGATTATGCATGGGATAGAGCAGGTAGAGAAAGAAGTACTTTTCTCCCTTTCTCACAATACAAGAACTCATGGACACTCAATGAAATTGCTGAGCAGTTGGGTTAGAAGAGATAAAAGGAAGTACTTCTTCACCCAAAGAGTGATTAACACATGGAATTCACTGCCACAGGAGGTGGCGGCAGCTACAAGCATGGATGGCTTCAAGAGGGAATTAGATAAGCATATGGAGCAGACGTCCATCAGTGGCTATTAGCCACAAAATATAGATAGGAACTCTCAGGCTGGGGCAAGTGATGCTCTGTATTCTTGGTGCTGGGGGGGGGGCAACAGTGGGAGGGCTTCTAGTGTCCTGGCCTCACTGCTGGACCTCCTGATGGCACCTGGTATTTTGGCCACTGTGTGACAGAGTGTTGGACTGGATGGGCCATTGGCCTGATCCAACATTGGCTTCTCTTATGCTCTTATGTTCTTATGTAACTGGGACTAATGAGCTGGAGCCTATCATTCTATTCCATCAGTACATGAACCTTTCCACTGACACTAGACACCTGTGCCTCAGATCTTTACCCCAGAGAAATGCAAAGACAAAATGGCAGGGCCTAACCCACTGTTATGATAGGTTAAATGAACTCTCAGATTTCAAGAATTGCCACTGACAGACAGTTTGGCCACATCTTTGTTAAATACAAGGCCACGGTTGCCAACAGAGGGGGATTGGGCGGACAAAATTGGCGATTGGGGGGGGGGGTCTGCTGGAGAGCCCTTGAAGCCAGCGTTGCATCTGGCCAAACATCTTTCCATTCATTTTTAATGCAGTTCTGGCTGCACCCACTAGGGGTACAGGGAAGCTTGAGTACAGTAAAAGGCACTCTATTATTGGTTATTCTTGCCTTTCTCCAAGACTGAAGCAACTTACCTAACAGATCATGCTAACATGATCATCAACCAAGCCAGCATTGGTGCAAGACAAGATAGCACACTGATGGCTGCTACAATAATTGGCAGCTTGGAGCCTGCTAACAGCCTAGCCTTTCTCTCACCCAAATCAGCCTGATCTTGCAAAGTGGTAGTTAGGGTGTTGCAGCAAGATCAAACAACCTCTCTCTTTTACTTTATGTCTCTCCCTCTTTTCCACACTTTTCTCATTCATTTCTGTCTCCCTCCACCTATTTTTTCCATGTCCTCCCCTTTACTTTCACTTCTTGGTCTCAAGACTTTCTCATCCCTGTCCTGCTTGGTGACAGAATGTACTTAAGAGTAGTATAGTAGCAAACCTTTGTTAATATTATGAACAGAAGAGGGGAGTTAATATTTGCCCGTGATCTAACAAAGTCGCAAAAGGATGCCCCCACCCCACCCTTTACATGCACAGTAATGGAACATAAATCTGTATCAGTGGTTATATATGTGGAACAGAGGTTACAAGTACTGGGTTAGCAGAAAAAAGCAAGAGTCCAGTAGCATTTTAAAGACTAGCAAAATCTGTGGCAGGATATGAGCATTCATGAGTCACTGCTCCCTTCTTTAGAAAGTAAGTAAAGGTAAAGGTTCCCTTGCTCGAAAGCCAGTCGCATTCGACTCTAGGGTTGCGGTGCTCATCTCCGTTTCAAAGCCAAAGAGCCAGCGCTGTCCGAAGACGTTTCCGTGGTCATGTGGCCAGCATGACTAGACACCAAGGCGCACGGAACGCTGTTACCTTCCCACCGAAGTGGTACCTATTTATCTACTTGCAATTTCTTGCTTTCGAACGGCTAGGTTGGCAGGAGCTGGAACTAGAGATGGGAGCTCACTCCGTCATGCGGCACCCGGGTCTTGAACTGCTGAACTACTGACCTTCCACAGCCTGCAGTTCAGCGTCTTAACCACTTGAGCCACCGCAGCTCTCTTTAGAAAGTACTGGGTTGTTAATCATTACTATGCTGCTGGAAGATCTAACAGCCCTTTGCAAATCTACTTTGCTATATGACAATCTTTTAAATCTTTTTAGTATCATTAAGATTAGATTTACAATAAATACCATACCCAATCTTTCTCTCCAATGGGCACCCAAAGCTACATTGTTCTCCTTTCCTCCATTTTATCCTCACAGCATCCTTGTGAGGTAGGTCTGGCTGAGTGTGTCACCCAGCAACCTTCCATGGTGAGTTGGGGGATCTGAGTATTAGAGACACAAGACAGGTTGCTTAGAAGTTCTCATTACATGTTGTCCGT